TCCGAGGCGCCCGCTTGGGCTTCTCAGACTGCGGCTGCATGGTGATTTCAAGATTTGTTGAGTTGGTGCGACAGCAGCGCGAGAATACCCCGGGGTGTGGGGGGAGGGTGAAGGGAGATAAGTTCAACGAGGAGGGTGAGAAGAAGAAAGCATCCGGTCACCCAACATCGACTGAGGGCAGTCGGACAGCATGCATGGTCTAAGATGCAATTCAGGGAGGAAGAGGGTCATGAGGACAGACGGAGATGGCGCACACCGTCAATAATAATGGTCTGGAGTTCTTGTGCTGGGGGGGAGGGTCTTAGCCCGGTCGGCGACGATGCTCTGGGGAAGTGTTGGCGATCCTCTGATAGGCGGGCCTCCCTGGGAAGCGGGGGATATCCCCCCACCCAGTGGGCCAATCAGCCTCTCGGTAACCCCAAGCATCCCTCAAGGGAAAGAAATCCCGCGCTACTCGACGCTTTCTTTATCTCTACAAGTACATTCAGCGCAAATCGCGCCTTTTCCCGGCAAATACAACAGTGCTAATATCTTCAGTATATTTGCGGCAGGCCGGCTAGATAAACAATCTCTCTACTACAAGTTACCAGTACGCTTAAGCGCCTCGTTCTGGACAACCTCTACCCAATAGTTATCAGGATCCAGGATGAATGCCACGTACTTCATCCGTCCATCCGTAAGGCGCTTCTTCCAGTTAACGTTCAGAGACTCGAACCGATCACAGGCAGCGTTGAGATCATCGACGGAGACACCTGTAACCACTGGCTGTTAGCGACTCCTCTATCCTCTGCGGGAAACTGACCCATTAGGCGGGGTCAACATAGAGAATGACTTACAGATGTGTCCGAAACCTTGCGGTTCCGTGTTACCGTTGTGATAAACCGGGCCCTCTTGCTTCTCCGTGCCATAGTTCCAGGTGAGCTCCAGCAGACCCTCCCACTCAGAGACCGGGTTGGTAGCACCCTCTCGCTTCTCAGGGTTGGCACCAGGGTAGCCCAGGAAGTAAAGGTTGAATCCAGCATCCTTGTTCTCAATGGTGCGCAGCAAAGTCATTCCAAAGACTTCCTGGTAGTACTTGACGCTAGTCTCGGCGCACTTGACACGGAGCATGGTGTGGTTCAGGCGGTAGGTGGAGGGATCGGTGGTGGTGCCAACATCCTCATTGTGACGGCGGATAATCTCGACCCAGTATCCATCGGGATCCTTGACAAACGCGATGTGACGCATACGGCCCTCGGTAAGCTTCTTCTGGAAGGGGTATCCGGCATCCTCCAGTCGCTTGCAGGCAGCTTCGATGTTGTCCACAGAGACAGCAATGTGTCCAAAACCGCGGTAGGGCTCAGTGTTACCGTTGACCACGCTGTAGTTGGGGTCATTCTCCGTGCCATGGTTATGGGTGAGCTCCAAGACGCCGTTGCGGTCGGTGAAGTGACGGTCACCCTGGAGAGATTGAGGGCCATCGTAGGCAAGGAAGTAGAGGGAGAACTTGTTCTCGGGGAAGTCGATCTGGTTAACCTTGTTGAGACCCAGGTACTGGTAGAATTCCACTAAGCGATAGCGACAGATGAGTATATGATGCACCTCTGAAGCCTCCTATGAAAGGCGAACATACAAGACTTCTTCGGGTCCTTGACCCGAAGCATGGTGTCTGTCGTACAGGCACATTGTTAGCTCCAGACCGGACTGATGATCAGGGCAAAGGGAGCCACTAACGGTTAAGCTTATACTTGGAAGTGTCTGTCGCCATGGTTGCGAGGGTTCGATTGGTTCCTACGTCTCCTGTGGTAAGCTTCTGGAATCGATCCGAGTGGGGAAAGCTATCCTCTGGAAATGATGGAGGCACGTACCAGGGACGATGGAGAATCTTGGGACGAGGACCCTGAGGAAAGATGAGCGAAAAGCGGGAAGCGAAAACATTAAGGGAGGAGGGGAAAAGGAAACAGAAAGAAAGATGGCTTGTTTGGATTAGTGAGCGGCGTGTGAGGAGACCCGAAAAAAAGGTGGGGGTTCCACCTGCCTATGACGCTATCCAAACAGGCCCGCCTAAAGCTTGCATTAATAATCGCATTTCTTTTGAATTTCGCATATGTCAATGTCTAAAATTGGCTTCTAGAATACTTTGCACATCTCCAGATCTATTATATACTCGAAAGGTCTACAGTGTTGTGAGCAGATTTAACCAACGGTGGTGATAAGGAATCCGAACCAAAAGAGGGGAAGGATATATACTAGTGCGGCGGGCATAGATAGTATGACACACTAAATGAACAATTGCCAATTTAGTACCAACTGCACACTGAATCGCATAAAGTTCCTGCTAAGAGTACTACTGCGACTATAGGTTCATGCTTTGGGGAATAATTCCCTGCCGAGACAAGCGAGACTTCAGTACTAGTAGAGTATACATGGTTCGGTCTTTAATACTCCGTTACTATCCATGACACAGTTGGACAAGGCGGTGAGAAGCGGGATACCCCATACTTCTTTTCTGCCGCCCACCTTTCGACTTACTCCGACAAAGCATCTCCAACTCCCTCTTTCCATCGCCTTGGCTGATCCTAGTCGTTCACTTTGCAACCTCCTCGTGTCTTCAATCCCCTAGCGCAGGCCGCTCTCGCCCTCTATAAGGTTTGTGTTTTTCTTTTTCTCCCGTATCCTGATGTGTCCCTCTGGCTTGAGTCCCCAGGGATCGTCATCCTCCGCCTAAGCGATCTTCGCTTTCGCCCCAGACATCGGCCTTGTTGGCCATGACTGCCGCCTTTCGTTTCTTTTTCCTCTCCCTTTCCTCCTTTTCCTCCCACATTATGCTATTCTCGTGTCCTTACCTCGTTCCATTGCTGTCGTGGCCATTGGCCCCCGGCTGTGACATTCCTCCGTGAAACATCCCCCACGCCTCGCTTCCTGCGTTCTGGAACGTCAGATGAATCATACCACGCCTCATTTGACCATGAGATCCGGACTTCGGCATCAGCCTTGGACAGGAGATCCAACTTGATTAGTTGTGTCTTAAAGCCAAAGTGGCAGAAGAGGCTCCTTAAAATGATTCACGTTCGTCCTTTGTACTACCGCCGTTTCGTCTTATCTTGGACACTTCACTCTGCTTTCTACCCTTCTACAAAACCCCTTATCAAGCCCATTCTCTCTGCCCTCAAACTCCGATCATCATCTACTACTCTCAATATCCCATAATACATCCTCACTGAGACAATATGGCTGAGTATGATCATCCAGTTCGGCCAGGTATCCCCGGTCAAAACCCCAAAGTCCAGCCCGAACCCCCATATCGTCCTTATTGGGCACGAAGCCCCGTTCAGTACGCGCAAGACCTCCTCGGATACTCCGAAGACCCGATCGAATACGATTACAACGACCGTGACTACTGGGACAACTGCTTCTTCTTTCCCGAAGACTGTTCTTGGTCTCCGCCAAAGGGCTGGATTATTGAAAACAAAACACTCGAACAAGACATCGCGCTTGGAGACTGCTACGAGCAGCACAACGAAGGCAACATGATACCCGGTCTTCCGGACATAAAAATGCTGGATGCGGAGGCGCTCAGCGACCTCCTAGAGGATAATTTGTCACCTCCGGAAATCACCTCTATGATGTATGGACATTCCTGCTCCCTCGGCGATGGAGATGCTAATGAACCATGCTTTACAGGGTATTCGCTACCAATGGCGCTATTTTCGCATACGCATCCTCCCTCCCTTCCCGGCAGCTGCGCAATCTGAGCGCAACATACGGTGCGGCGTACACATGCTACGCTAAGAATGCATCATGTGGGAACCTCACCGGCGTGAACCCCGCCAGCCACCCATCATCATACGTGACCACCCCGTCTGTGTCCCTTGGCGATGTCGGGTCTATTGTTTTCGAACTTGACGATTTAGTGGCGGTCGTGACAAGGATCGCAGACAAGGTCCTTCTTGCCGCAGTCGGGCCATCGAAACTGGGAGATGCCGAAGACGCAGCAACACCAAACGGTACACAGAGTCTTCTGAACGGATCCTCACATCCCGGAGGCGACGACGCTGCCAATGATGGGAGGACATATGCCAGTGTTGTAGCAGCTAACGGAGGCCGCCATGGCCCTAGCTCAGACGCGCAGCTCGAAAGCCAGTACGAAATCGACCGGAGCAGTGATCTAGCCCGTCTAGCGACCTTGAACCTCTCCGCCTCACCATCTATCCTGCTCGCACTGGAGTCCAAATCTGCAGCGCTAGGGAGATTCCTGGGCCAGAAACTGGCAGATCTGGAAAGCCCTGAAGATTTCTAGGCCTGCACACTTCACTTCTCACCCTCAATACCTTTCTTTCCCGTACCTTCGACTGTATTAACTGCATTAAACTTATTCCCTTCGAACTGTATCTATCCGATACGAGCTCCCACGATTCTCCCAGACGTTTTTTACCCCCTTGAGCGTTTCTATTACAACGATGCGATACATCTCTATCTCTATCTATCTTACTTTTCTTATTTACCAACAGTATATTTGAATATAACATGTATCTTTGAAGACGATGTACACATCCAGAAATACATTCACTCGAATGAATCGATGAGTAAAAACACTGACTTGTTCATTCTGTATTATACTTGGCATCAGAAACATAAGTAGCAACGAAGATACGTAATGAAAAGGGTATAAACACCGAAGCGCAAGCTCGAAACCAACAGCAACTCATCCTAAACGGAAAATCTGGCTTTTGGTGGTACATCGAACCAGATTGCAAAAGCTTAGAAACTCACGTACATTCAAGCCAGCAGACATATTTTCATAGATTAGAATCCCCACATGAAGATTATCACATAGACATGGAAAGATAAATACCAAGTGCTATACGCACTACCAATTACGCAAGGAAATAACAGAGAATAGGAAACAAAAGGATAAAGTTCAATTGCATGCATGCAGCAAAGGGAATATTATACGGGTAGTTAAGTAAGTAAGTTAGTTAGTTGCATATATACCAGAAATAAGAAAAGATAAATAGTTATCACGCCTTATCCTCCGTAGCAGTGGTAGCAGGTGCAGCTGCCGGGGCGGCGGCACCAGAAGCAGTAGGGAGAGTGCCAGAGCCGCTAGTATTAGTACGAGAGACAGCAGCGGGAGTGGTCGGGGACGCAGCGGCGGCTGGTTCCTGCTGAGCAGCAGCGGATTCCTTCTCGACGTAAGCGGGGGGCTGGGAGCTCTCGGCCGCAACAGGGCTGGTTGGCGAGGTGGTGGTGCTAGAAGCGAACGTCGGGGCGCGAGTGGCGTCCTTGATGACGGTCCACCATTTCTCGGCCTCGTTGGAGTTGGCGGCCTTGAAGCTCAGCTCGGTGTTGGTGTGGAAGGCGTTTCCGACCTTGCCGCTGGAGACGTCCTTGCCCTTGACGCTGAACTTGGAGCCGTCGATGGCGCCGATGATGCAGTCGGGCAGGTAGAGGGAAAGTTCGGGAGCGGGGTCGCGGCGGAGGTCGTCGTTGTCTTTGAACTCGTGGAGGTAGCGGGCGGGGGTCACGACGTAGAAGCCGCTGCTGTAGCCCTTGAGCATGGCGCGGGACTTGCGCTCCAGAGTGCCCTCGATCAAGGGCTTGGTGGCGCGATGCTCCTGGTTGGGGAAGGTGATGTTGGAGAGGGAGCGCGGCGGGGCGTCGGGGTTGACGAGGATGTGGTCGTTTCTGGTCATGAAGTTGACCCATTCGAAGTCTGGGGGAACCTTTTGCGCTGAGGACAGAATGTCCGTGTACATGGCGCGGTGACGGTCGAGCTGGCCGCCCATGTAGACGACGAACTGCTCCATAGCGCCCTGGACGGTCTGCAGGACATGGGCCTCGAACTGCTGGAAGTTGTTCTGCACAGCGATGAGGTCCTGGCGGTTGTTGTTCTCCTCGATAACCTGCTTGTTCAGGCGGTGGGTGACACCTCGACGGAGAATGTAAGGGTCATGGGCCGTGTCGATCTTGTTATGGGACGCAGCGTCGAGTGTGGCCGTGTGCTGAGCGAGGAGCTCAATGTGCTTCTGAGTGACACCGCGAGCCTTGTCGACAGCCTTAGCGCCCTTTGCAGCGCCGTTGTGCAATTCCTTCGACTTGGCCTTGATTTCCTTGTGAAGACGCTCCAAGGTCGGGAGCACGGAGCCCTTGAGGTTCCTCTCAGTGTCAAGGTACAGGTTCACCATGCCCTAGAGCCAGCTGTGAGCTGATGTCGTCATCTCGTGTGTAATTGGATAATTACCTGAGTGTTGGCGCGAATGTTCTCAAACCAAGAAGAAACGCCGCCGGCGCTCTGGGAGAAATGGTGGCTTTCCCGCAGAGGTTCGTTCACAGTCTGCATGCAAGGAACCCATTGTATCAGTATAAGAGACCTCCAACCCTTCAAGTTGAGCCCAGTGTAGCCAAGCGCACCTTCAAAACCTTCTCAAAGTCCTTGGACTGCGACTTGGACACCTTGGCCGTCGCAGACACATACTCTTCCAAATATCCACACATGTGCTTCCAAGCACGGAGACGCTCGAGGAGGAGGTTCGTGGTCTAGAGAGTCGCGACATCATTAGCTATCTACCACGGAAATGTAGAGAATGTATTCCCATCGCCTACCTCATTGCTATCAGAGCCGGGAATGGCCTCGTCATCACTCATGGAAGTCCGACGACTGACACCAGTCATGGCGCTAGTGACGGTCCCCGAACGCTGAGGGAGCTTATGCTCCACGGGACTGACAGGAGTCGACATGGTTGCTGCTGCGGGGAAGGGAAATAGAAAAAGATGCGACGTGCCACCTCTCTCAGGGACACAGCTGTTCAAGGAGGAAAAAGACGGTCGAACGGCGCGCCCACGAGGAATAAAAACTGCAGTCGGAGCGGTGCAGGTGGAGGACACCGGAAGCGCGATCTCCGACTAGTCAAGACGGTTGAATCGGCAGACGGATTAGGGGCTTGTTGGCCTTTGTTGTAGCGGAGGAAGTGGGGCGTGGGCAAGCAGATGCCGGCGAGACAGACGCTCGGAGGAGGAGGGGGAGGTAGGAAAGAGGCGGTATATATGTATGAATTGGACAGAAGTGGAAATCGGAATCTGAAAGAGTGAGGAGGAGGAGGGGAATAGAACTATGTGATTGACGTCGATAAATGAGAATAAATCTCTAAGCGCCAAAAGCAATAAATGTGATCAAAAAGGTAGAAGATTTGTTACTGAAAGGCGAAGGATCGACCGATGAAGTCACCGCCCAAAGGAGTTTACCCCTCAATGGCGCAAATCAGGATGACCCACGATTTGGTTCGTTCCTCAAACGATTCCGGCAAGGGATCACCGTGAAAAGTGTTCCATTGGGGAGGTTCGCCATCCTTTCCGGTCGATTGATCGCAGACAATGATGATGATGATGATGTGCTGGCCCGTGTAGCATCCATCGATTGTCTGCTCTGTGATCAGGCCATGCCCACTTCGGAAATGCCACCTCCGCAAGCGGATCCCGACTCAGCCACACTTTTCCAGGGGGAACTCAACACTCAATGGCCTTCTTCCCCCCCCTCTGGTTCTTTTGTGGCTACGTCAGAACGGGGAGCTCAACCAAACAATCTCATTCATTCACGCTTCACAATCAAGGTTTTCTTGGCTTTCACGTTTCACTGCATCCCTGGTACTACTTACTCTTTAACACTAAATTAATAAAGTAAGTCTAGTTGCAATGATGGAGTTTAGATCTATTTGCTGTCGTAACGCTAATGCTATGAGAGTATGAAAGTATTATTTAACAGGTAAAGTGTATTGCCCCTCACTTTGAAGAGAGGTCTTTTTTGGGGTAACATGTGCATAATTCGTGCCGACACCGGGTCATGAAATATCTGCTCGTAAAGCGCCTGTCATCTCATCATGGATGATGATCAGGGGAGAAAATGAAGAAAGAAATCCTGGACTCCCTGTCCTCCCAGTCAACCCATCCCGTCTATTAGTTGTGAACGCCAGTAAAATAAATTCCCACCCAACGAGTCTAAGTATGTATGCGACTAGCATCCAGAGGCACAACGACAACCCTCCGTGTTTGGTTCTGAAACACACTGTAACAGGGAAACGGCAGCACACGCTGTTAATGCTTTATGGGATAGGCCGAGTTCGAAAACGCAGTATCCCCGGACAGCCAGCATCCGAGGACCGATGAATATGTGCCGAGGTGGTGTTCTATCCGGTAAGTCGGTCAGGCGGAGCCAGTCACACCTTCACCAGATCACCGAGTGCCCCGACCTAGCAGAAATAGACTCCAACTCTTTTTCGACACCTGTTCCCTCAGAGGAGACGTGATCGAATATTATTCTTAATGAAATCTGCAACCCAATTAGACCCTGGCTCGAGCTTGGACAAGACGCAGTCGACGTTCATCATCGTCGTGACTGGAGGTGGAGTGGAGGAGACCAGACCGGCTGTGGAGCGCATCGATAGCGGAGAAATATGAAGACCCGCGGCCGGCGGTGCGGACATGAGCCTGCTGAGGCGACTGGGGCGCGGAGATGACAACATCCTCGGCGATGACAGCTTGATAATCAGGCAGTTCCGAGTCGCAAGGGCGAACAGTAGTGCGGACGGCGGTGGAGTAGCTTGGGACACGGCTCAGGGTCTCGACTTCGGCATATTGAGGGTGGTAGGGAGTTGCCATTCCGGAATGGATGTAGTCGTGTTCGACCTCGTCAGAGGGACGGCGGGAGAGCTCAGGGCTGGCGGGGCTGTGCGAGTTGGAACCGGATCCCGCTCCGAAGTAATCGGGAGGAACACCCAGGCGACGGCTGTCGTTTTCCGGATGCTCCTGGTCGGTAGGGGAGGGCTGATCATTCCCGTTGGCGCGCAGAATCGATAGACGGGTGTGCAAGGCAGAAGCGGAAATGTCGGTGTTGGTCAATGCATTCATTGAAGCAAGGTTCTCAGCCGACAGATTACGGCTAAGGGTGCCGAACGGAGTGCCAGGGCCACTTCCAGGGCCTGGAGTCCGGTATCCAGAAGGATCAAGTTCGCTGTACAGTTGATCGAATTGATGCTCGCCGTACAAGGGAGGAGCCTGCTGGGCGAGATTATCAACCGCTCTTTGAGCGGACTGAGGGGTCTGGTCGATAAGGTTGTTGTTTTCATCGATGGCTAAGCTGGGGGAGATGAAAATCGAGACGGGGAGGGTCGCGCGAAGCTGCAACATTGTCAGAATAAACTTTTCAGTACCAATTTCAAGCCATGGATTTGCATACCTCGCTGACATGTCCATCAGGATTCAGGAGCTGAACACGGAACTTGAGCTTGTGACGGATTTTGATGCCCCTGGTGTCAGTGTCCTGCAGGCACCGAGTCAAAGTCTTGGGCAGATCCAGATGACGCGAAAACTGATATCCCTCTGCCATTTCATCGATGATTTCCAAACCGCTGTCCTCATCCAGCTCATGCTCATCGTTCAGGATGGTTCTCGTACTCTTGTATGTGTTGCGGACGGAATCAGGGTCTTCGGGGTTCAGGGTAAGGTCGTGGCTTTCGATGAGCTGCGAAACGATCTGTCCAATTCGAAGTCCCTTAAGGAGAGGGATCAGCTTGAAGTCCACACGGATGCTAGTTCCGAAGACCACGGCCTTCGTTGGTGTGCTGATCGAGTATTCAATCTTGTTTGGCCAGACATTTTCCACGGACTACCATCAGTGTTAGTAAAGAACCTCCCCCACTAGCTAGGAGTATATGTAGGAACCCACCATTGCGTGCGCAAGTTCAAGAGCACTAGGCTCAAGAGTGCGAATGATACGGAGCGGCCGGCGAACAATAATATCCTTGGCATATTTGCGTCCAATTTCCGCCTTGAAGCGATAGGTCACGTAGGTGTCGTTAAGGCCTTCAACGCTCTCCGGCATAGATCCCTCGAGAACAAGGTTGATGGGGTACTCGTAGTTGCCCGCTGGCAGAACCTCCGTCTTGCTTTTGCCCGCATCTCTGAATCTCCAGGTCTTCTCGTAGAATACACGTTCTCTCCACGACTTTCTACCGCCTCCGGCAGTACTCGACGGCAAATGCCAACTAACCAAGCTCGATTAGTTTTGATTCTTGTCGCATCGGGGGATTAGCGACAGCACTTACCAAACCCGAGATATACCCGTAAGATGGAGTCTGATGTGCTTAATGGACAAGGGCTCCGACAGACAAAGAATGAGCTTTCCGCTCAGATGGGCACTGGCCGCTTCTTCCTCGCCTCCGCGAAATACGATATAATCTTCATCAAGACTGTTATGCGACAACAGGGTGGTTAGCCGTTGCACTCGGGTAAGGAAGCCGGGGTGCCGGAGCAAGTGCGAGAATGGCGTGACTCACCGGATATCAAAGTATTTCGCGTGACTGGAGCTGCCTCCGCCACCAAAGAAACTCAAAGCCATGACGTTATTGTGTCAAACCAACAGCTGCTTGTGTGCAGCTGCTAGTAGAATGGAGGGAGCCAAGAAGATATAAGGGCGGTCGATATGGTTGAAATGTGAAGGGGGAGGAGTGGGTGGGCGGGAGGTTGATGTATTTAATCAAACTAAAAAAGGAGAAAACGTAAAAAAAATGGGAAAAAATGGAAAAAGAAAATTTTAAAAAGAAGGTGTCCAAGGAACCACGACAATGCGACGGGACTATGGCGCGAAAGGGAATAAAGCCTGCCACTGATCTGCTTAGGACTGTCCAGATTTGCAGACAAGACCGGGTCGACAACGGGTCCCACTATGAGCAAGGAAGTTGGTGAAGTGGAGACTTCAAAAGCAGCCGTTTCCGTCACTTGCGTCTTTTGGGTCTTTTCGGAGAGACCTTTTTGGCCCCGGGAGTGGCAAGGCGGTCCTTGGGTAGGGAAAAACTTTGGATTAAGTTCCTCCCGAAGATGATGCGATTACCAGCGGCGTTGACTAAGCCAGGCTGATGAATAAACTGATGCTCTAAAGATAGAACGATGACTCGACGACGTGACAGCGCCTTTGGAAAATCAAAAGGAAACGACGAGTTAGTATGGCAGAAGTCTTAAAAGGTTATGAAAGGGTAGTATCGGCATCGGCAGCGGAGACAGTGAGAATTTAAGAAGCGGGAAGTAGGCCGAAGGGGAATGTGGATGAATGGCAGCTGGGCTTCCGACCAAACTGAATGTTTGGAAAAGTGTGTAGGTGGGGGTGCGGTGGGATGATGTTTTATAAAGGGCTCAAAGGGTAGTAACAACGGAGTAAAATAAAGAAGGTGAGCCGGAGTGATGGGTATTGAGAATGTAGAATCGGTGAACAAGAGAAAGCAAGAGCAATGGAGAGAGAGAGAGGCGAAAGCAAATGTTCAGCCTGAATAGTACGTTACATCACCAACATACCGGAGAAAAGGCCGCGGGCGCAGGAACCAGGATGTCCACGGGAGTTCCCTTTCGTAAGGGAAACAAGGCTGGAGGGGTGAACTGTCACGGTGTGCTTTTTTCCCGCTAGATTATTGATTTGATTTGATTTGGTTCAATAGTAGTAGTAATCAGTAGTAATCCCACTCGTTATCGTGACCCGTAATAATCACACGATAAGTGTGTGATTTGATTACTTCTGTTTCGGTTTTCCCCTCGTAGGAGTTGGTCACACAAAAAAGTGGGCTGCTGGCTATGCCTGCAATGACAGACAGAGTAAAGTAGAGTAGAGTACGGAGTAGAGATAGTCAATGACTTTTTGCTTGAGAAGATATACCAAGACTTTTATCCAAGACCCAGCCAAAAGGGCCCATCATCGTCTGGGATCGTCCGGTTTTATCTACACGGAAGCATTGCTCGTAAGATCGGCCCTAGGCCTTGGCGGCAGTCCGGTTACCCGGTGGCTATCACAAGGCAAATGACATTAAATTCACGGGCAGTAATGATAGTCGCCAAATGACGATCATCGAAGTAACATTAATTTATTATCCTTTTCTTTTTTTATGATTATTGTTCCACCACCCCCTCCTCCTCCTCCGCTTCCTGGCAAAAGCAGTTCAGTTGGCCTGCGCAATGCAATAGCGTGTGTGCATGCCTCGGGATCATCCTTCCCGCATGATTCTCGATCTAGTCTTCTTTTGGGGGGCAAATCGGGTTAGAGATTCCGCAGGAACAGCCGGTCCTGCTAAAACCTGTGCGCTCATCCTAGGATATCATCCCTTCCTTCAGCCCTTCTTCAGCTGTGCCCAGAAGAGACTAAGATTGAGCAACAAAACCATGATGAATGGTCCCGAGAGGGCTCAGACGTCCCATTACCCCTCCCCCTCCTCCCCTGATGCCATCCAAGACTGCGCGTCCATCCTGCAGGGTTGTCGCACAACAGCTTGCAATTCCAGCTGCAGGAGTTATGCAAGAGATCGTGACCAATCCACCCTAGTATTCGTCACTCCTGAATGCCCCACCAGATGATCTGCTTATCATGCTACTCTGAACCCTGCACCCTCTCTCTCTCCCCCTCTGCTCTGTTTAGGGTGTCATATGTTGTTGTAACATGGCTCCCCCCCCAATTCCACTCCCATCCCTCCCTTCCATTGTGGACACACACCACCACTCCGTACTTTCTGCAGAAATTTTGCCCTACGGTGGGTGGCATGACATTTCCAATATCAAGCCATGTGCGGCCCGACACTGATAAGAAACACGGTAAAAGGCGCAACGCCAGTGGTTAAGAAGATCGCAAAAAGAGGCAGTGCGCCCCTCTTGCGTACAACCCTTTCCTGGCAATAACGCAACATGGCACGGTACCTATAGCAGTCTAGAATCCTACATAGTGCATGCATCTTCAACGCCAGCTCCAGCCCAAGATCTAAGTCGAGCTTCGCAAGCCAATGCCTGAAAGTGGAGAGACACGCATCCATTCTAATCTCCTCCGGCAGGACCATTGGCTTCCGACCGCAACTCCACCACGGCTATCCTGGACAGTCAGGTTAGCCCACGCTACCGGGCGATACCACCAATGAGATATACCAACTCTTTCGGCCATCTAGGACAGGGGGGTGGGAGAGATATGAAACCCTTGATATGGATATCGCAATCGCGTAATAAACCATGCAGAGGGAACTGCCAAATCAAAGGGCCCCATATTGGATCCGAATCTTAGCGTTACATTCATTAACCTGACGTGGACGCGAGACACGCAAAGCAACGACGCTTCATAGCTCTTTGCGGGAACCATCCTACTTGTAGAAGGTGCTCTGCAGCGCTGCTCTCTGCAGAAAACAAGGCCCCTGCCCATGACTGATTTTACTCCCTGTTCGGTGTTGCTACCGCTGACGATGATCTACGAAGCTTTGTCGTCCTCAGACCTGAAGAGCGCAAAACTGATGTACGTACCCCATGCGGAGTGCTGCGGTGCATAGCATCAACTGCAGAACACGCATGGCTCTCGGACATAGCCGTCGGCGAGCCGACGATAATAGCAACATGTAGTAGGAGTGAGGATGCACCGACCGGGATTGTTAACGAGATTTTGCTGGCTGACACGAGAACTTCCAAGCGAGCTGGATGATTCCATGTGAAACCGCGTCTGTAGGGCTTCTAGAATTAGCAATACTAGCAGCAATAAGATCTCCATTGGTACCTGACCTTAAGTTCTCAGTGACCCTTCACACTAAGATTACTTTGTTCATAAGCCACCCGCTTATCCTTCGGGACACACACCGCCGTCGGGTACTTCCGGGGGGCCATCCAACATGTGATCGGAGAGAGTCGCATAACTCCGATACTCGCCACTACCGCGACCCGGCTCTTAGCGGCATCACCACGATTACGAGTCCTGCCAACCGCAAACGTCGATGTCGGGGGGAAAAAAGGAAAACTCTGGGTGGATTGACAAGGACATTGTTACCCGTAGCTAATCACGGCGGTCGTAGCGGAAAATTTACCAAGTTTTCTTGCCGTAATGGTGACGCCCTCCAAAGGGAAGGGAACTTTCGGGCCGCAACTTCCCCAGTAGCCTAGACACACCGCTAAGGTCTCTTGACGCAAACCATGATTTCACGAAGAGCGCTCGAGACCTAGGTGCACGCGTCCTATCGCAAGGGCGATCATGGATAGCCAAAAAGAATGTGAGACCCACTGTATCGTTGTCACTCCCCATGAGCAACTGACGGACGACTCAACCGTATCGACATTTCAGGGTTGAAGTGGACATCCGAGTGGGATAGAGTCGGTGAGTCAGGGTTCCAGAACAAATTTTCAGATGGGTATGATGTGCAGAACTAACCTGTGATCACATCATCCAGGCCAGCAAAGTCAATAATGTGGGCCAAGATAGGGAGCTGGGCCCACTCTCAGATTTGGGGCTCGACTGTCAAAAAATCAAAGTACGGCGTCGAAGCCCGCCATTGCAGGTTGTGCTGGACTGTTCTAACCCCCTTCCCACCACCCAGCCTTCTGTAGACAGCCTCCATGATAATCCCTGCTGGCCGGATCCATTGAATAACTCTGGCGATGGCTAATCGCACCAAAGCTTCTCCAACGGTGACGCAGCTCGATCACAGGCTCATCACCGGGAGCACGCAGACCCCGAAAACAAGACCAATGATGTTTGATAGCGGCATCAGAGTGATAGAATTCCAAGATTGATGCTGCAAGCGGCCGCCAACGTGCAGCCAGCCATGTTTCACCATCTCTAGGCTGATACGGAAGCTAAGATTAGGTACGGAATGCCGTGGTCCGTAGGTCTTGAAATTTCCCTTCGGCTTGCCGAAAGTACTTTGGTCTAAGGCGTTTAGCTCCGTCATACGAACCGCTGCCCCGTTATTAAGCACAAGGTTGGCGAATCACAGGTGACAAGACAATCAATGACTTGACTACCTTGGGGGCGTTGATTGTCGTGGCAAGTTAGTGAGACAGATTCGTAAACAGTATCAAGACACCCTGAAGAAACAATTGGTACAGCGTAGCGCGGAAATGCCTCAAATGAAAAGCCTTGTTCTTCCAGATCCTGAGGCCTTACGTGGTCATTGGCCGGTCGGATAACAGCCACAAGCCAGTCAAGGGCCCTGATTCCCGACCGTTGGTCTCGAGCGATGAACCAATGGATGACATCCATGGGCTGAACCAGGGACGGGCACGGACTCACTGCGTTGTCAGTCAGTCCACGGCCAGTGGGAATCTATTTCCCGCTCCTTGTCCACGGTTTCTCAGGGCTGCTACGGAGTACGTCGGGTGTCCTTTTCAGCATCTGCAAACGCGGGCAGAAGAGGGGTAAATTGAAATGAGGATGAACGAGGAAATCAGGAGAGAATTGAGCGCAAAGGAGAAGTAAAGCAACTCATCGTGAATATCTCCGAGGCGGAAGTTGCCGCTGGTCCCACTGACGACTGCCTGGACGGACATGAGATCCCAATGCAGCAAAAGCTTGACGGTGCAGATACTAGACGATGCAAAGTAGAGGCCCAAGGGGTTTAGAGCATCGGAGGTCGGTAAAAGACGAAGGAGTGTACACCGGATGCTGGATGAGGGATAATAGTTTTCGCGCCAATTCGCTGATGATCGTGCCTTCTGTTTCTGGTGGACGGAGAATTTTCCTCCAGTGTTGCCAGTTGCGACCCAACGGGCGGCGGTCCTGAGCGGCACGTGGCCCGAACCGAGTCCCATTCGTGTAGTAAATTTCCCTATTTACCCGAGTTATGCGATCGCAGGAATCGCAGGACCAGCAGGAACAGTAGCGCTACTGTCTTTGCCCACCCTCTCCCTCTCTCTCTTCCTTCCTTATCCGATATGATTCGATACGAGCAATCATCATCTTATCAGCCACCACTGACTAGACTACTAGTCAGCTAGTTATTGCTGGCCCTACGGCAATTTCATCGGGTCATACCTGGCACTAAGGGACTTGCATTTCTCCCCTCTGGAAAATAGCTCGTCCCTTCCGTGGCAGCCACCCATGCATCGGCAGATGCTTTTGCAATTGGCCGGCTGTCTGCCCGGGATCTACAGTCTAGATACTTTGACATGATGGTCTCGACCTTCACTGCCACTTAGATAATCTCTTTGCTACTTGACTAGTTATCTTTCGTACTTTGTCTGTCCAACCTAACAAATAATACCAACTCAGTGGTTACTGGTGTATTGAAATGGTGAACAAAGAAAAGAAGGATGGTTACACGGTATCAACCTTCTTTGAAAGCCGAGGTCAACAACATCCCAGCAAACACTTAACACTGTGCGACTATGCGCTGAGGTCTAATCGATCGACTCGGTCCGTGGCACTTTGTGTCCGTGACGTATCAACATGATCGTCAGCACTGCCCCTTGCTGTCGCTATGGCCTGAGCTCGACGTTACTTCGGCATCATTCTTAGGTCCTCTGCCGAACCCTTACCCGATATGCGCTCATCCATGGACACTAAACGATGGGATTCCCATCTGAATCGCAGTTCTCTTGATCAGGACAATGAACTTATGCATTTCACCCAGCGACTTTCCTAACTAAATTTTTGATCCGCCCAGTGCCTCACTTACGTAGCTGGCTCTTCGGATATGACAGTATCTCTATCTAGCTCTTGGGTGAGCTAACCTTTAGAGGGACGATAAGTTCATGTACTGTAGCATCTAGAGCACTGCTCTCACACGCTGAATGTATGACGTGCTGCTACCGGAACACACACATGACAACATCGCTCACAAATAGATATTCGGGCGCTCTGCCAGCTGATATCCTATAGGCTCATTCTATCAAAGCTGATCGGCTGATTTAACGATCGGGATCAGACCGTCACCCTATCATGACGGGAGCCCTGTTATTGCGATCGAGAGGTAAACGAGAACGTAACCCGTTATCCGAATGTTGGAAGGGTCTCGTCCCGAAGGGTCTCGTCCGTTCGATGGCCGAGACGTCTTACCGAGGGAAAATACAACCTTCTAGGCTCGAAAAGCAACATACCCCTGCAGGTATCACCATCCAGCTGGTGAACAAACACTGCTAATGGTCAGTATATAGCGCAGACCGAGATTTGACACTTGGATAGAATGGCAATCGATTATGTCGTCATGAAAGTTCGTGACCGAACAGCCCTGTAAGGGTCTAGAAGCAAGAGACCACGCTGTGGAACCGTTATCTATTCGTTAAACGAGGCTGTGGATGTGACGCGACATCGGTGGCGTTCATGCCTATCACGAAAGCTTATCCATGTCTCTCATTCATTACTGCCTAGGTGTATCTACAGAATTTCCGGCTTTTGCTTCAGACGAATCATATCCTACGGAGACAGGGAGCTTATCGTCGTGTGGTATCATTGAGAACCAGACGAGTAAGGTATACGTGCTGTATCCATCGGCCATCAACATCTTCAAAATATCAGGACTGTGCAAGAAACCCTAGCCATACCCAACGAGAACAATTACGAACCAGAAACCATACTATCCTAGAAGGTATCGACAATAGAGCTATTATCGGTATCTAAACCCCTAGTGATTCATAAATCGCTCACCACATGCAAGTGTTCCATTTCCATTACATAGCGAACCACTCAAGCGGACGCCACTTAGGATATAGACCCTATAGAGAACCATATGATATTGTTATCTATATCATAACCTCCTACCATTCTATTCGCCGTATGTACATAGCATCTTATGGGGTGTGAGATTCCATTGCTCAAGACCTGCAATAACCGAACAGCCTGGCATGACCAAATTCTCCAAAGAATGCAGTTGATGCCTTAATTCCCTTTTCCTGAAAGAAAACTGGCGATCTGCTCTGAAATAACTCAGGCAAGTACGCCAATCTCGTAGATAACTAGAAACCAAGTGACATTTGGCTATGGGAAAAGTTGACGAATTGAAGACGTAGTACATTCCTTGATGCTGGATATATGAGGGCGATAAAATATGCCATTGATTTTTTTTTAACGTTGAAAAAACAAAGGAAAATAAATGAAGAAAATTTTTAAAAAATTATGGAAGCCCTGTTCTTCAATCATCAACTTGTCATCTGCCTCATCAGCCAGAATTGAGGCCTCCAAGGCCGTGACTTTATCTTTCTTCCTCTGGAGCTCCTCCTCCCTTCTCCAACTGGATGTCAGTTCCTCAGTATCATCCAGCTGTTATACTTCTTAATGGAAACGCGTATACAGATGATATACCATAACACTATCCGCTGTGTCGTCAGAATATTAAGCAGAAGACGGTATTGAATAATATTGTGATGGTGGTTAGCTATGCTGCCGCGAGTGCGACGTTAACTCGCGCATTTTGGAGGTAATCAAGGAAAAAAGGTGCGTTTGTCGGAGAGAAGCAACTATAATCGCCATATAGCATCCACTCGTCGACACCAGCAGCACCACTCAGCGCTTGCAGTCTAACCAATTTCAATTACATTGCTGGGATATCCATCGATGGTAGACGATGGGAGTAATGAGTTACGACCCAGAGATGCTTGTGCCTCTGCATCTTAGGCAGTGTCCCAAGACTGGCTCAATATCTTTATCAGAAGTAGTTTCAAGGTACAGCATAGCCTGGTTGTAGCTGCTGTTGTCGCAATCGAAAACTAGTATTGGGCGTGGCTCCTTTGATAACCTCTTTCGATTGCAGTCGTTGAATGAATTGGCCCACTAACTTGCCTTTCTTCTGCGCCACTATTCCATCGCGAGTTTTGATTTCAATCCAGTCAACATCTCTCTGCATTTGTAAGCCACATTAACATATCAAACTAATGATTGCATAATAGCCATAACCACTGTCTATCATACACAGTCTGACATTGAAGGAAGGAAGACATCATTCTGTATCATGCACTATTGTGCTGAATTGACGGCTGTTCAGTCGGAAATCTGCAAAAAGTCGGGCAACACCAGGCTTAGCATGCGATCATCTACATAATATCAACAAAGAGCGGCAGATTGTGAGTCTGAGACATGGAGTATAGACCTGTAGAGACACACTATACCCCAAAACTCCTTGTGGATGGTATTTGTCAGCCATTTTCTGCTAGAATATCGTCGCCATTTTGATTGCCTCAATTATATAAGCTGTCTCTGTAGTAGTATTGTTTATGTATTTCATATAACACCCTTATCTGTGGTCTTGAGGACAGTTGGAATGATAAGTTGATGGTATTTTTATGATATTTGTTGATTTGGTACATTGGTTAGTGATTCTTTGTATCCAGTATAGACTATTATAGAGTATATAAGGAACTATAGTATGAATCCTATCTTCAGAGCTTCTTTTCTGAGTCTTAAGTAATAGCTGAGATTAAAGAAGAGAAAGGAAAGAAGAAGAGAGAAAGAGGCTTTTTAAAATCAACTACTAATCAGTGAAGCCAGATAAGGACTACAACAGATAGTAAATTATCCTAATAAATTTCTAGATTCACTGATACATTCAAGCTACAACTGATGTGAATAGTACTAAAGACTATTCCCCCCAGAAAAATCATGTGAAAGCTACCCAAATCTATGCCGATTCATTCTATTCATCTGCCCACCCTATTCAATCACAAGAAACAAAACAACACAAGCTATGCACATCACAACACAAACCACCCACCTCCCATTCCCATATAATAACATATAATAATATGACCTATAAGTAATTAAGAAAATAATATAAGTATGCAAGTAAGCGAGCAGACAGGTAGTAGATACGAGTATCAACTCGCCCGCGAGTCAATACCCCAGATAACAACTCCTATCCAATCACTTACCCTCCCAGCCAGCCAGTAGACAATATAAAAGTATCATGCTCACCACCAACCCACCACTCCAGTATCAAATCGAATCGAATCAGAAAATCCACCCCAGGATAATCCAAATCGCCACCGCAACCGTCACCACGATACCAGCGACCTTCAACACCGCAACGGTATCACCCTGCCGCGCCATACGAGTTAAGCGACTCGCGCTACCTTTCAGATTCGTGGAGAGGGAGGAAAAGACTTGGTTCTAGACATATGATGAAAAACATATTGTTAGCGTTTCATGCTCTTTTATACCTATGCAGACGTAGTTTCTCCCATAGACGATATCCACATAAAAGCAAAACACAAATATAGTGAAAGAGGATTCAACGAACCGAATGATCCAACGTATCCTGATCCCTCGCATTATCATAGATATCAATGGTAACGGATTTCAGCGCGGAGACCTTCGACGAGAGAGAGTTTAGGAGCGCATTGTTTTGTCTACCCTCATACATTAGTATTCGTCATGCCAAAAAAATCCTCCCGTCCTTTTCGCGTAGGAATAGTCAAGGTAATGTGGGTGGGCTCTCGTACTGTTCACGTTCGAAGGCGTCGGCCATTTTGCTTCAGGTGTCGCTTCTCGTATAGCTCGATACTCTGCTGATTCGTTTCTTCGTTGATTATGGTGTGAAATATCTCGTTGTATCGGTTGCCGAGTTTGCTTCTTCGATACGGGCTGTGTTGAGTTCGTTCTCCTTTTGATGTTGGCAAAGAAGGTGATGGTCCCGTCCAGCCAGGTCGAGATGACGCTGTGGAGGCTGTGGGGAGATAGATGCATGTCACGTGACTGAATCGATGGCTGGCCGCGGGTCGAGTGGATCCCAGACTATTTTAGTATAGCTAGTTGGAACGGCTAGAATAGATACGGCGTGGATTAGGGGCTTGACGATGTCTAATTGAGTGGGAGGTTTGAATATCTTTCTCTACAGTACAGTTGACCATCATGAAGGTATTAAATTACACATTCGTTACGAGGATTGACTGAAATACTGGTGTCACAGAGTTTTGTGACCCATTTGGAGTGTTCAGACTTCTATAACAAGGCATCGTTGACGCCGGACAGAAAAACAATTGACAAAACCCCACACGCTATGCGAACAAAGAAACCCAAGACGAGAAGCTATGTCAGGCCCTACCCTACCATCGTGGAATATTCAAAGGACCACTATATAAGTTGACACAACAAGTGTTCAAACGAGAATAGAGGAGCTTCAATGGCTTCCTCTGTATACCCTTGTATGCCCTGTGCATAGAGAAAATGAAGAGTCCACCACCAGGGGAGTGAAAAGAATGCGAGGATGACACAAGAAGTAAAGGCTAATATCAGTGTACAGAGTGTGAGAACCGACCAGACTTGGCACAAGGGGTATTTGGTGCGCTGCAATAGAATCAACAGCAATAGAGGGAATCACTTGTCTGTTCCCTATTACCACATATCATCGTCATCATCGTCAAGCTGGACGTCGTCGCCAAATGTCGAGTGACCATACTGGTAATGTCCCGGGCCATATGCATTTCCATTCTCGTAGCCACCCTTGCTACTTTGCGAATGGGTGCCATAATGATCCTGTGCATCGTCCGTATATTCGTACATTTGAGGATCATCGTAGGAACTATCTGTATATTGTTGCTCCTGAGACTGCAGTTTCGACGAACAGTTAGAATCTTCAATGACAATAGAGAATCATCACGGAATACTCACCTCTTGATATCTTTGGTATTGTTGATACTCTTCTTGTTGCTTCTGCTGCTGCCTTTGCGCAGCGGAAGTAGCCAACATCATGTGCGGGTGCATCTGCTGGACCTTCGCCAAGTAAGAGTACATGAAGTTGCTGAGCAAGACCTGAGAGTACAGCGCGCGTCGAGGATTCGCAAGCTTGATGTGAGCCATCCGGTAAATCGCTCTTTCTTCTAGAATCGAGAAGCGGGTCCAAGCGTAATCAACATCCGGCCGCAGCTCACGCACAGGCGGATCAGGTGATAGGTTTCGAGAAGCGCTTTTCTTGTGATGATGGCTGTGATGGCTACTGTCACCACTGCTCTTCTTCCTACTTCCGCCGAATATGGAGGAGAACAACCCAGACTCCTTCTCTTTCTTCGACTCCCCAGAGGTCCGTCGCGCATTGTCCTTGCGACGCTCCTCTTCCAGTTTGGGATCCAGTCGATCCACTGCAACGCTTTCGCGGCCTCGCTGACTAGAATCACTTGAGGATGGCAGGGCGTGCGCTGTCTCATGAACTTTGTCCACTATCTTGGCCTTGAGTTTCTTCGAGTCACTGTCCTTGTCCTTTTTCTTCTCTTTATCTTTATCCTCGGAACCCAGCAGCCAGTGCCAGCTGGATTTGCGGCCACCCTCCGAATCTTTCTTGTCTTTTGACTTCTTCGACTCTTTTGTTTCCTTCTCCTTCTCTTTCGAATCAGCCTTGCGATCCTCGAAAGTTGGGATGTACGACAGGCTGTCCGTTCGGGTGGTGTTTCCAGGAAGAGGCTGTGGGGTATTGGCGAAGTCATTGAAGGTGGGTGTGGTCTCCTTCTGAGTGCGACTATGTGCCGACCGCTTACTTGAGCTTCGTTCCTGCATTCTATCTTGGCCTGCAGGTGCTTTCGGGGACGCATGTGACTGTGAGGTCGGTGTTGAAGGCGTGGTGGGAGTCCCGGGAGGAGGCGTTTCAATGATTTCAGGTATCTTTTGTTCTGACGGTGGAACGTCCGCCGTTGACCGTCCATTGGAGCTGATCCGTGAGTGCCATTGTCGCGAATGTGCTGGCGCGCTGGCCCTGTTCGACGGATCTGACGAAGCTGCATCATGAGAGCGGTCGTTGGCTGGTTGTGAGTGTTCCACCGCTGAGTCTACACTGGAGCTTGCTGTTGTTGTACTAGCTGTCGCAACAGGGGCCTGGGGTGTGCCTTGCGTCGATTTGGCCGCAGCTTGAGCTCGCGTTGAACTCGGTGTTGGGTCGGTAGACATTCGTGTTAGCCCCAAAACTGCTTGACCTCCAGATGAACCAGTGGGTGAAGTAACCCTCTCATCTGCGTCCGAAGTCCTAGCCACGCGCTTCGAATACGGTGCCTTCTCGCCTTTCTTCAGACTTCCGGCCTTCCTATATTGTGTCCTTGTCGAGCGCCTGAGGCTGTGGCTTGGAGGTGCAGGGGGAAGGATAGGTTTATCCTCATCGGTGGAAATGCCAAGTTTCTGGATTCCATCGAGGATATTCGTTGCGTTGGGAGCTCGCGGCTTCGAATCGTTCACTATTGTTTCTAGTTCATGCAGATTGGGCCCCAACGAATCGCGTTTCGATTGTGAGCGTTTTCGTTCGAGTCGTTCGGCGCCATCTGTGTATCCCTGAGAGGTGTCAATCTGCCTGGATAGCATAGACCGCTTCCGCCTCAAGCCCCCTATTGATCCCTCACGCTCCGGGCCCAAGGTAGAAAAGTCGCCTGATTTCCGCTTGATCTGTTCTGTTTTACTTTCAAGGAAAGACTTGAACTCCTTCGGGGCAAGTTCCGGATGTAAACGGGCTGGAACCCAAAACAGTCGCGATGCATCGTTTTCGTCGTCGGAGGGAGAGGGCGCTATGGATGGAACGGAGAAGCTCGGGAGATCGGGGTCATCCGTAGCAGCAACATCCATAGACATCCGCCGGATCGCGGCGAGATTGTTCAGCTCTTGTGCTACGGCGGCCGGGTCGGATTCATAGTCGACATCGTTCAGAGGGAAGGAGGTTGTGGCTGTGTCAGTCGATACGGGGGACGTGGTGGACGCGGGAGACGTCGGGCTACTTTCGGCGGACTTGGCCCCATGCGGCCATGGCTGCCCGTTCGCTTGCCGATTATTATGATCATTGATGTGGTTTTGAACCTGGAGAGACTGTGGGGAGGTAGGAGATTCGCAGCCGGCGAGCTTTGTGGGAATTATAGTAATGGATTCGCTCAACGGGGAGGATATGAAACTGAGGCGTCGAGAATCTCGCTTGTCGTAATCGTCATCGTACATATGGCCAATGGCTTCGGTGACATGGTGACTGGGGTCACTGATCGACAGTTGAGGTACATGGCCTCTTTTCGTTGCATATCCTCCGCTTGGCTCAGAGGGGCTCGGTGAAGCCTGAAACTCGCGACGGCATGTTTAGAGACAGTCCTTGAATAATACAATTGAAACAGGGGTTGGAGGGTCCACAACGCATCGCACAAGAGATGCTTTCTTGCCAGGTAAACCTTTCGGTAAGGATAGACCAAAGGCCGAGAGCATCCTTAAGCTTTTCCCAGAGTGTTGTTGTAGGCGAGGGGTACAACGGGGGGGGGGAATTTTTTTGGGTAGAACGCGGACATAAAGAAAGCGACGCACCTGCATGAGAGCAAATTAACCGGGGGACCGGACAGGAAGAAAACGCCCCGGGGTTGGCTGTAGATTAGGAAAGTCGCTTGGTGGTGAGGAGGTCAATGTACCACCAGGGCCGTAAGACAACGCAGAGAAAAGGTAGTCATGGAATCATGGGAGCGGGGAAGAAGCGTCGACGGAGAGGAGCAACCACCAGGGTGACGAGAGGAAAGAGAGGCGGGCGATGACGGCTAGGCATCCGGCGGCCGATGATACGATTTTGGCGACGATACAAACGAGAGAAGAGGTAGAAAAGGGTTTTGAAAAGGAAGAGCGAGTGACGAGAGGCTGAGGTGGGCGGTAGTTGTTCTTTCGTAAGAAAGAGGATGGGGATGGGAGAGTTGGGAGTTAGTAGTTCGGTGCTGGGAAAGAGTAAGGACCTGGAGAAGGTGGACGAGACGAGGGAAGGCCGCCGTGCTTTGGTTGGCTGGTTCTGGCTGGGCTGGGCTGGCCGCGCTTCAGTTTGGAAGTGGTGGTCGGCCTTGAACAACACCGCAAGAACAAGAACAGGGAAAAAATAACATAAAAAAAAAAATAGGTTTCTGACAAGTAGTTCGAGGAAGACAAACACTTTAGACGAAAGAGTATTCTATCAGAAGACCCATCGACGGCTAAATCGGGGAATCCGAGGCCAGTGAACAGGAGGAGAAAGCAAATTGTATAGGCTCACTCTCTCCACGGATGGATCGATCTTGGGCAGGATATGTCCTCTTAGTCAGCGCGATGCTCCACTGCTGATCAATCTCGATGGCAGGCCACAGTCCGTTCACTTCGAGAAATGTGACTCGATGGTTCTAGTAAAATACCTTGTTCAGTTCGTTTGATTCTTCGTTCGGGCGATCGCTGATCAGCAGTACCCCGTGCTTTTTTTTCGGTGGACTCCAATGCTCGGTAGCACGGTCTTTGGAGCAAATCTTATTCAGTTCGCTAGGGCTCGGAGAACATGAGTCGAGGAACTACCTGGTAGTGTGGACTGGCTATCCGAGAGCTGAGTTTTATTTTTATTTTTTTTTTTTAGATTGCACAAGGAGGGATTTCAACTCCACTGTTGGTTAGACTACCCTCACCCACGTATGCGGAGTCGATCCCTGTTCTTATAGACTACTTTTAGGGTGAACTCCCGCCCCTAAATGCAGGCACTGGCAGTGAGATACCACGGAACGCTTAGAGTAGTACTACAATGGAAGGACAAAGGAAAGGTTGAAAGAGGAGAAGCTGAAAATCAACTGAATAATGACGACAACAAATCACGAGATGAGAAGAGGGGGAGGGAATAGAACGGGCACAATGAAATACAATGAGCTTATCATTTGACGGCAGAATCCATGCACTGGACTCGGAGCACCATTCATCATTCAGAAGGCTGAGCAATGTCGGGAAAGTCTAATGCATAAATTGTCTTGCTCATCTTGTTGTGAACCCGCCATGGCGGTGATGCGTCTGTTCCGGCATCCCATACATAGATCGACAGGGAAAACCGTCATTCACCAGCTGCAACACCTTGTGCGGTTCCCCATATGCCTGCTGTCTAACTTACCTACAGATGATCGCCTGAGTCATTTCGTAATCTTCAACTCAGAATCTCAGCTGACGTATCCATCTTCCTTCCATAGCCTCGTCCTCGTATTAGGAAATGAGGGAGATTATCTGGCATGAGAGTGGCATGCCGCTGTTCTTCCAGAAGACTGTAGAGAAAGAACAAGTCTGTCGCACGATGGACTCAATTTGCAATCGCACTGCTTCTCTGCCTTCTCGCGTGAGACCCGGCGCGAGTCTCGTGCCTTGTGTTCCTGACCTCTATTGGCCGAGCGGGCCTCATCCGATGACTTCGAGGATGTTGCGGAGGGGCTGGCTCCACGAGGTCCAATGGCCCCAGAAGGATGGGTGCCGGTTGAGTTCAACTTGGTGCAGGAGAGTCTCCCGAGGAATGTACCGACCGCTTCTACTGCAATGCGATGAGCAAGGAACTTGAACGTCGCTGGGAGCTTGACTGCTGACGACTCCTTGACGCTCCTCGGACCTTTCTGACGGCAGCCACCCGTTTCTTTATTCTCACTAATCCTCCCTTCCTCGCAAGGGAGAAGCATATCAGCCAAGAAGCAGCTGCAATCATCTAAAACATTTCCAACCAATCCATCCTTGGCGCAGCAACAAAGAGGGAATATTCCATTTTTGACAGTTATAAACCTGCAGTCCCAAAAAAGAACAAAACAGCATGGGGGAAGTCTTATGTATAACCCAAAGGTGGTCCAACACTATCACACAAGCCATATACTAAAGCTAGAACCATCGCCAAAGCGAACACATACACAGGTGCAAATGTCCCGATTTGTCACTTATCCGTTCAAAAGCCACCCCGAATCCGCTGGTCGGCCCAACAGGCAACTCCGGCGCTTATACTCAAAAAGCCGAAAGGAAAAAGCAAAGAGAATCTTGGGGAACAAAAACTAAAGGGGGTGAGTCTTAAACGATGACATGGAAGCTGAATATCAAACGGAAGAGGAACATAAAAAGCATTCGTGAAGGAGGAACATGGCGTTAAGGGTGCTCGCGTCGTCAAATATCATTCCGCGTGAGTCCAACTAGGACCCGCCGACTCCTAAGCAGTTTCGACATAGTTACTGAACAGTAATGGTTAGTTCCCATGGCCGAGGAAAACACGGTTTCTGCGAATTCCAGGTCTGCTTACCTTGGGAAAATGCCAACTCGGCCCCCGATCCGCCCGGTCCACCAGTCCTCTTTCTTGTCAGTCCTCTTGAGGATGGTGATAATGTCTCCTTTCTTAAAACCCAGGTCACCTTCCTGGTCCGCATCGAAAGTATAAAGTGCTACGGCCTGGTCCTGGCGTAGAGTAGGAGCTGCCCCAGTCCGCTGTCCAAACACGGGTTTCGGAGCTGTGGGTCGGCTAGGCTTCCGGTCAGAATATACATAGTCCTCATCGATTGGGGTAGTGTTGCTCCGGCTGCGGTTGAATGAGTCGTAAGTGTCGTTGCGACCGCTGTACCGAGTAGTCGACGAACGGCTCAGCCCTCCAGCAGGTCGATCGTATATATCGTCCGCCCACGTATTCGCACGGCGGGGTCGGTCGCGGAAGTCATCTGAACCTGAGCCACTGAACCCAGTGCGATCGCGCCGCGTTCCTTCGCCATACGCCTCGCCCCTGCGGCCCTCCCAAACCACATCGTCATGGCTGTCATCATAAACGGGGATGTCGTTGTACATGTCACTACCGTTCCGGGCATTGCCATAGAACGCACGCGAGTTCAACACGGTCAGGAGAGGGTCCGCGCCCGGGGGAGGTCGAATGGTTCCGCTGAGGAGCTGGCGTGCCGAGACCCGGCTGTTGTACATCTTCTCGTTCGCATCCTTACGTTCCACCAGCATGCTTCCCTCCAGACTGACACCGGCAAAGAGACCCTTGGTCTTGGAGTATGAGAACACTGCCGCCACACCCTTTGTGCTAGCCGCGCCAGCAGCTTCCGCGTTTCGTCCGACCGGTCCAGCAGCGATCGAAACGTTTCCACCTAGCGTCAGGGTTCCGACCTGCGAGAACGTCCGAACGGCAGCGGCATCATTCAAAATGAACACGAAGTCGGTTAACTCAAACCCGATCTGGCCTCCAAATCCAGCTCCAGCAGTGGCAATGGCCGACGGAGCAGACCAGGTTCCGTCAGCTAGTCGAGCGACAACGACACCAGAGCCGAATCGAGCTGAGCCCAAAAATCCAGCTTTCAGGACAGTAAGAACGGCGAGACCCTAGGGAAGAAACCGTGAGTGACAGTGCGACTTTTGAGCAATAAGCTGGGTATGGATTTTGCTAATTACCTTGGCTCCTGCCAGAATCTCCGGAGGAATCACTTTATCGGGTCCAAAGGCTTGTCGTGGATCGACAAACGAGGCGAGGATTTTGCCCGCCTTTCTACATTCGCCTGTCTGGTTGTTAGTCGCAGGCCGAACCACCTGTTCCAGAGAATTGCGGGGAAATTGGAACGAAAGCGGCGCGGAACATACTTCCTAACGATGAAGGTAACGGATTGTGAATTCCGAGAGGCATTCTGGCTATGCTTGACGGAAACTGAGGGTGAAGGGAGGGTTAGGGAAGAAGAGGGGGTAGGGAAGAAGGAGTGGAAGGAGAGAGAAGGATGTTGATAGTAGGATGTTCTGCGAAGGCTGTTCGTCTCTATGGGAGCGACCGGAAGTGGAACCAGATGACGGCTGACACCAACTGCGATTCGCAAACGATAAGGCTCAATTATCCAAATTCTGCACCATCCACAACGACCCTGTACTGTTCGGTGACTGTGCAAATCGCTCTCTCAAAATGTTCCTGTGCGATGAATAATATACTCATCTGATTCATGGGGAAGGTCAGCAACCGTGGGAATCGAGGGGGCTGTACTCACTCGGAGAGGGGACTTTCCGCAGGCGGCATCAATGAATACGGGGGGAAGTGTGGCTGGGGCCGCTTCTACCAGCTTCTTCCCTCGGTCTTGTCTTGGTAACTCTCCAGGTCAATCAGCTTGAAGTAGTATACACGAAGCCATTTCAGAAGCACTCCCCTATCCCACTCGCTATTACTAGGTACCTGCTTTGTTTCATCCCCAGTATCTACTGGTCCAGCCACACCTATAGTAAGAAACCCGACCGGCTGGAACCTGAGGCCGCAAGAACGGCACAGCCACCGCCGAGGCTCCGACGATCATCGTAGTTCCCAGCCGACCGAGTCCTTAGTGACATCGCGTTTCGATTGGCCTGGACTTTCAAATCGGTTTGACCTTGTTATTAACAAAAGCTTTCTGAAGCATGCCCGAATAATTTGATTAAGGCGTCCCCAGTCGCCTTGAAAGTTTCCAGATCCACAATGGCTACAGGTTCGATATGTTTACGTTGAGCTGCTCACTCATCTACTTACTAACAGCACCTCAGTGCGAATCTGTGTCTGTGGTGATGAGGGCACTGGCAAGTCCAGTCTCATCACCTCCCTTGTGAAGGGGGTATTCGTTACAAACAAGATCCAGCCTATCCTACCTCAAATCACCATCCCTCCTACGATCGGTACCCCCGAGAATGTCACCACAACGACGGTGGTGGACACCTCCGCTCTTCCGCAGGAGCGCAATAATCTGGCCAGGGAGATCCGGAAGTCCAATGTAATCCTACTCGTGTATTCGGACCATTACAGCTATGAGAGAGTCGCTCTATTCTGGTTACCATACTTTCGTTCTCTAGGGGTCAATGTCCCCGTGGTACTATGTGCGAACAAGTCCGATCTCGCTGCAGATCATACCGAGGCCCAGGTCATTGAGGAGGAAATGCTACCATTGATGGCGGAGTTCAAGGAAATCGACTCTTGCATCCGCACCAGTGCCCGTGAACATCGGAATGTCAACGAAGCCTTCTTCCTCTGCCAGAAAGCGGTTACCCATCCGATCGCACCGCTGTTTGACTCCAAAGAATCCTCCCTGAAGCCGGCAGCAATCGCAGCGTTGCAGCGAATTTTCTACCTCTGCGATAAGGATAGGGATGGTTACCTCTCTGATAAGGAGATCAAGGACTTTCAAATGAGATGCTTTGAGAAGCCATTGAGTGAGGAAGATTTGATTCACATCAAGGAGACCATACAGAGGACGCATCCTCATTCAGTGACACCCTCAGGCATCGATTGCCGCGGTTTCCTGCAGCTGAACAAGATGTATGCGGAAAAAGGCCGACATGAGACTGTTTGGATTATACTACGAGCATTCCAATACACGGATAATCTATCACTACAGGAGAACTTCCTTCACCCGAGATTTGACGTACCCCCTTATGCGTCGGCTGAGCTTTCGCCAGAGGGGTATCGATTCTTTGTGAACCTCTTCCTACTCTCAGACAAGGATAACGACGGAGGCCTGAATGATGCGGAGCTGGCGTCGCTCTTTGCGCCCACACCGGGGTTGCCTGCTTCATGGGCAGACGGTTCCTTCCCATCCTCTACCGTCCGCAACGAAGCCGGCCATGTCACCCTTCAAGGATGGCTTGCGCAATGGAGTATGACTACTTTCACGTCGCCTAAGACAACATTGGAGTATCTAGCCTACCTGGGTTTCGAGTCGTCCGACCGGAGCAATCCTTCTACAACAGCAGCGCTGAAGGTTACGCGACCACGAAAGAGACGCAAGCGTCCTGGCCGTGTGGGCCGCAATGTTGTTCTTGGTCACGTCCTTGGGGCTGCAGGCTCAGGCAAATCTGCACTCCTTGACGCTTTTCTTTCCCGTGGATTCAGTACTACTTATCGCCCCACGATCCAGCCCCGAACTGCTGTGAACACAGTTGAGCTTCCGGGAGGGAAACAGTGCTACCTCATCCTCGATGAGCTCGGGGAACTGGAGCCTGCCCTCCTCGAGAATCAGGTAAAACTGCTGGATCAGTGCGATGTCATCGTGTACACGTATGACTCGTCAGATCCCGATTCCTTTGCATACATCCCAGCGCTGCGCGCCAAATATCCTCACTTGGAGGAGCTTCCCAGTGTTTTTATTGCACTCAAGGCAGACTTGGACCGGACTACTCAGCGGGCCGAATATCAGCCCCACGAATACACTGCTATGTTGAATATGCCGAGTCCTCCTCTTCATGTCAGTGCCACTTGGAGCTCCATCCAGGAGGTGTTTGTCCACATAGCAGAAGCGGCAATGGAGCCTAGTACGGCCTTCCCGCGGAGTGAGGAAGATGTGGAAGGCAAATGGATGGCATGGGGAATTGCTCTTGGGGCAGTGGTTTGCGCTGGAGCGGCGGCCGTCATGATTTGGCGGAGAGTTAGTGGAAGCGGAGTGTGACGGGGCGAACACTGTCGTATTCTCCTGTGGAGTCAAATAGATACCCTTGAGTATGTATATTGGGTTGTTGGTGTGTTTGCCGGCAAAGTATCGCCAGTTAACCGACTAGTACGAAGTAATAAAGTATGATGCATAATGAACGGCTTAAATACGGCTGATGATCCACTCGTTCATTTTAACCTGCCATGTCGGCCACGAGAGTAGATTAGTCCCCATAGAACCGGGGCGGCACGACGCAAGAGTGATTGACTTTGGGCTATGAGGACTAGTGTGGGTTTCTGGCGCCGTTAGCATTGGGGGGAAAGAAGAGGATTGACTGAAGCCTGGCAGATTGGCGGCCCCACGCGCCAACTTCGACCAACCCCGGAAATGGCCGCCCGCTCGCTCTTCTCTCTGGCTTCAAATCCCCCCCGTCGCTCGATCCCCCCCAGGTTATAAGGCCATTGCGCAAGTTCTTACCCGGAAACTCTCCCCGCCTCTCTCTCCTCTCCATCTTCAACTCCGGGGTATATAAACCATCGATATTCAGCTCCCTGCGAGTTCACAAGTGACTTTCCCGCGAGTCTCCGCCCCGATCCATCTCCCTCCCTCGTCCTACTAGCCAGCAGAGCGTTCGCCCATTCGAGAGCCTCGGTCCCGCGCTCTCTCCCTTGCACGAACGACAACGACGACCTGTTTCCAGCCCTTCCATCTGGACCAGTCCTCTCACAACCTAAGAACGTTACAAGCCACCCTGAGTGGCACCGTCAAGGGTGCCGCTCTTGGGGGGGAAGGGAATTCGCTACGACGATTGTCTGACAAGCCTATCGCGCATTCCTAGGCCCCTGTCACACCACCCTCCAAAATCCTTTTAATTTATCGCTGATTGACCGGTGTGCCTGCTGGTGGTATCCGCAGCCATGTTGTAAGACTTGCCCTCCCAGCCCAAAGCTGAAAGCCCGGTTATCAGCGTCCTTGGTCCCTTATCTCCGCCTCGTGGGCGCATCATAGGTCGGCCTTCAATTCCCTGGAGGTCAAGGAGCGCCACTACCTTTCAGCCCTATCTACATTTATTATGACGACTCTTTTGCGTCTCTTCACCTGGCTGACCCCTTGATCCAGCGTCCTTCCCCCACCTCCGCCTCGCTATACCGTCCCCGTCGCCTATGCGGCCGGGGCGTCGAATGGCATGGCGGTGCCAGTTGTAGAGACCAACAATATCATCAGCCATCCTGAGGGTGGCTGTTCCTTACAAGCCGGAGAAGGTGTGTTTCTGAAGGGGCGCATGTTCGCTCATGCACGTCGCTGCAAGGTCGCTTGGATTTGCTGATTGACGGACTTTACGATAGGCACTTACCTCCTCCGAGATGACCTACATTTAGCCACCCCTCCTCCACATCCCTCCGAAGCCCCCGTCATGAATCCCAATCCACTTGCGACCGTTCCGGCGCCTCCGACATCAGGTGTCAAGCTCTCGCTGGTTAGCATCGGTAGCCGGCTCAAGACCCCCACACCCTCCGTGGATGGCACAGGCGCAGCATCTTTATTTGGAGATGGCAATCCAGCTCTAGCAGCACCACCTGTGAAGGAAGGATTGAAGAGGAGGAAACCAAAGAACAATATCATAAAGAGCAGCTCCTCATTCGTCTCGCGGGTCATTACGCATGAGACGGCAACCAAGCGATTGAACGATCGGAATCCGGATGGTCTTTTTGCCTTTGCAAACATCAATCGTGCCTTCCAGTGGCTGGACCTCAGTGCTAAGCAGAAGGAAGAGCCCGTCACCAAGATACTGTTCACCAAAGCGCACATGATAAGCCATGATATTAATGAGCTAACCAAGAGCACATCACACATAGATGTTGTCATGGGTTCCTCGGCTGGAGACATTATATGGTATGAGCCGATGTCTCAGAAGTACGCACGTATCAACAAGAACGGAGTCGTCAACAATTCTCCTGTGACGCATATCAAATGGATTCCTGGTTCAGAGAATTTGTTCATGGCTGCTCATGCGAACGGACAGCTGGTGGTATACGACAAGGAGAAAGAAGACGCTCTTTTCACACCAGAACTGGGCAGTCCGTCGGCTGAAACGATGAAGTCGTCGTCGGGGCGGCAACCACTGCAAATCCTGAAATCGGTCAACTCGAGAAATCAGAAGACTAATCCGGTTGCGCTGTGGAAACTCGCCAACCAGAAAATCACGCAATTCGCCTTCTCCCCGGATCGCAGACACTTGGCTGTTGTCCTAGAGGATGGATCGTTACGAGTTATGGATTATTTGAAGGAAGAGTATGCTGCTACCTCAATCTTGCCACCTTGTCGGTATAGGAAAGCGTGGGCTAACGTCTTGCTAGGGTTCTGGATATTTTCCGCAGTTACTACGGAGGGTTAATATGCGTCTGCTGGTCGCCGGACGGGAAATATATAGTAACCGGAGGCCAAGACGATCTTGTAACGATCTGGTCGTTACCAGAGCGCAAGATTGTCGCACGTTGCCAGGGCCACAACTCATGGGTCTCTGCGGTAGCTTTTGACCCATGGCGCTGCGACGACCGTACTTACAGGTTTGGTAGCGTTGGTGACGATTGTCGGTTGCTGCTATGGGATTTCAGCGTGGGCATGCTGCACAGACCGAGAGTAGTACGTTTACCAACAATAGACTCGGATTCCTAGTGTTCTAACCCATGAAACAGCATCAAGCCAACGCCCGCCAGCGCACCAGCATGATCGTCTCGAACACGCAACACCTCAACCGTCACCGAGCCGATAGCGGAGGAAACAGGACGCGATCCGATTCTCAGGAGACTGCAGATACCTATAATAGTTATGATCCGACCGTTCGTCATCCGGTGGAACCCAGAGCACGAACCGCCCTCTTACCACCGATCATGGTAGCTACCACCCCCTTGAGTATATTCCGCAATCTTCAGAAAGGCTAACTTACTCGCGCAGTCCAAAATCGTTGGTGAAGACCCTATCTGCTGGCTAGGCTTCCAAGAAGACTCCATCATGACATCTTCACTCGAAGGTATTCCGCGGCCCGAATTTCTTTCCCCAAGTTCATCCCTCAGAACATTGCTAACAACTCTTCTCTGACCAACCAGGCCACATTCGCACCTGGGATCGTCCCCGAGAAGGCATCAACGACAACTACAGTTATTCGCCTGCGATCAGTGCCAGCGCCACCGGGTCTGGTCGTGCTGATTCGATGATGGGATCACTGTGAACATTACTATGACCCCAGGATCGTCACCTATCAAAGTAGTTCACAATCCCGTAGCTGCTCTGTAAATATGTATGTAAACAACTATCGAATTAGGAAATATACCCATAATTCTAAATATATCCGGTAGTATTAGGATCTCTTGTGATTACCTGGACATGTGTCATTGACGAAACAGTAGCAGTACACCGTAGTACTCGCTGCAATGCATAAGATCTATCCAATCGACCTAGCTAGTTACCAGCCACATACTACTTATTTACTCGTAATACTGTAAATACTGTGCAGTGTTTCGCAAATATCGGACTGAACCGACTTGTCCCAGTCAAGTAAGTAAGCAGCGGCAGTAGTAATAGTAGTTACTTGGTTGATGTTACAGTCACACTGGCTGGCTCTATATTGGTCATTAAACTAAGATACACATGACACATATGGCCCCATCATGTACAAAGTACTTACTGAGAGCCAACAGAAGCAACCAAAAATAAAAAGTAAAGCCACATAGCACATCTGATCCCGTTTTGGGCTGTGAGATGCAACCATTAAGTACCAGAGCTTATTACATTATGAGGTTAGTATGAGATTAGGCAGCCACATACTCAAGTATATTTATGTAGAAGATACTGTATGGAAACTAATCACTCATTTAGTAGTGCTTTGGGTGGGGCTCAGTTGCATTTCGAACTGGGCTGGGTGCATTATATGTCCTGTAGTATGTGCTGCTAAGTATGGAATAGTAGTACTTACTCTCTAGTACTATATAGTGGGACAGAGTGGCCCCGGACTAGTTACCTAAGTACTACTTACTTGCCAGAATGCAACGGAGTCCCCGGGACAGACTGCATGTAAATGACCTGTTCGGTAAGTAGAGTAGTACGGAGCAGATTACTACTGTGGCTAGCTAATTCGTAAAACTCAGTGGAATCATCTCCATTTGGATTTTGGGTTGAGGCGTTCAATATTGATGTGAGTATCGAATATGTGCATGGTTGAGGTACATGGAGCTTGTCTCTAGTCGGAGTTTATTGTTAATGCTGAGGTGTGTTCAGACAACTGTAGATAGACTAGTTTAATTGATAGTGTCTTTTGCCAGAGTGAACCTCCTTGCAGGGTGTTCAGGAATTAGGTTTGCCAGCGCCGAGATGCATGATCGCGAGTGCCGCGCTAGTGATGTATCATATCCAACATCGGCATTAAAGAAAAGTTAAGATAGAACGCATGGTTGAAATATTGTATCAAATGATTGTGGAGAACGAGAGAAGGTGTAACAGTGCCATAAATCCATTTCCATCTGCGCATTTAAACTATGTATCAAGGGAAACCAATAATGTACCAATTCACATCACTCGTGGAAGGACGTTAAAGATAGACAATAAGAAAGGAATGAGGGGAAGGGGAAGGGGAGGGAAAGCGGGGAAGGGAGAATGTGTGGGGGGAAGGGCAAAGAAGAGAAAAAGAAAAGTTGGAGTAGCAGATAGTACTACACTCATCGCTGAAACATGAAGCTGGCTCGGTTGGCCTGCGTGTCATGTTCTAATCTTGGAGTCGATCATTCGAGAGAAACGAGGTTACGAGGGTCGCTGTCGTGTTGTGCGGGTCGGTTCGATTCAGGTTTATCGATCGCTTCGCTGACCGGCTTGTGCGACTTCGAGGTGCCTGTTTCTTTCACTTACAGAATCTCGGCAATTACGCCCATTGCGAGGGCACCGATCACGGCGGCGGAGCCAGGAAGCGTGCCCGTGTACGCGGCAGATCCGGCAGACGAGGAGGTAGACGCAGCAGCTGTCTGGGTGGCGCTAGTGGTGGCTGAAGCTGTAGGTAAGGTAAAGAGAACACGGTTAGAGACCCGTCTATTTCACATCCTGTACGTACTCACCCGGTGTTGTGGAGGCGGAGGGAGCGGTGCTAGATGGTGAAGTAGTCTGGTGGTTGATGCAGGGGCGGGAAGTGGTTTTTGTGATGATGGTGCTGGTATGTGGGCGGATACATGGTGATGGTGATGATGATGGTGATGATGATGGTGATGATGATGGTGATGATGATGGTGATGATGATGGTGATGATGATGGTGAAGATGATGATGGTTGTGATGGTGACGATAGTGATGATGATAAAATAGAATTTTCCTTACTTGTTTCAGCCTTGCCAACCTTGGTCACATTGAACTGCTGCGACTGGCTCAGGATGCCGGTGTTCTGGGTGGTGTTGGATTCGGCGTTGAGCTGGTAGCCCTCACTATGCGCGTTCGTTAGGATCGTACAATATATGCCATAATAAGGCGGCTGGGCTGTTTGAGGATACATACGCAACTGGAATACCGATGACCTTGTCAACGGTGTATTTGCTATCCGATGTCTTGACATTGGCGATCTTCTTGCTGACGGTGGGCTGGCTGTTCATGTTGACCAGTATGAGGTCGAAGTTCGTAGGGTCAGAACTGATCCGGGAAGTGAATTAGTTGTGTGTGACAGTCAATGGGCCGATGTGCACTTACGCCACAGTCGTCCACTTGATGGTGTAGGGCTTGCTAAAGTCCACCTGGTCACCATTCTTAGGCTGGGTGATTGTAATGGCTGTGGATGCTGATGTTAGTCCAAGGTAGATGACGCAAAATCAAAGGAACATGTACCCAGTGCTGTAACGGCGAACGCCATCATCGAGACAACAATGTTCAAGAAATGCATTTTGATGGTCTATCTTCGACGATTGAAGCTGTTCGAGGCGAAGGATGGCGTGTCTAAAATGGAAGAGTAGCGATAGCAGGGCTAACGAGTGTTTTCAGTTCGTAGGATATTTAATGGCTTGAGGGAATTGATGAGTTCGATGAGCTGGGTTGAGAGGGCCTTATAAATGTATGGATGGAGGATACACCGCAACGAGCCACCTCATGGCAAGGGTCCATCATGGCGATATCTGCCTGCTTGGGCCGCGTTTGATCCTTCTTACTTGCCTGGTACCCCTGTGCTTCCCTGTAATATCAGCCGATAGGAAGAGAGAAAGGCAAGTAACAGATGGAAAGCCAAAAGTTGTCTATTTCGGGCACGCCTGCTGCCAAGGGTCTGGCGTGCATGCGAGGGGGGCTGCAGATGATCTGTTCGCCTCCTCGAACCTTCAGTACTGTACTCCCGATCTCCTTCTCCAGGGAGGCTCCAGGAGTTTTGATATGCATGAGACGCGTCTAGTGGGCAGATCTTGACGGCAACTGCATGGTAAAACTCAATAACCGTCCACCAAGACCAAAGGAGGATCCGCGCCCGGCAAAGATAGGGCACCTCGTGTTGCAGGGCGTGCTATCCCCTTCGAGGGGGAACGAGGATACCCCTCCTTTCCGCCTTTCGGGTTTATGACGTTTTGTTTCACCAGCAGGGGACTCCCAGAATAGTGCGTCGGATTGGTTCTCAGTCGAAGATTAGCTTAAAGCGCAACAATACCGTCGGATAGTCATGGAAGGAATCCTATGCATTTTACAGAAGGTTTCGAGACGCTAGTGCTGCAAACTACTCAGCACAGGCTGCATAGTATGCAAAGGTTTCACTAGTGCCAACTGAAAAAAAAATAGTGATCTGGACACGAGAACATGTTGGCCCTCCAGATAATATGGAAGCCACCAAACATCATGACGGTGCGTATCTTTGATGGCGTTAGACTCAACCTTGTATGTCGATGACGCGGTGCTGCTTGTTGGTGAAACAAGCATATTCGATTTCTCATCTGATCATCTGTCGACTGTTATTGTGCGAGCCTAGACCCTGGAAGAGCAAAGTCAACGATAATTATCCTTTACGTGCGCATATGCGCATGTTAAGTTGGGAAACACCGCTTACTGTTCTCCCGCTCCTTTGCTGTCGGAGACGGACAGAGGTAGATAGTCACGTCGTACACATCACACCGCACTAGCTATGGCGGGCAATGGATAGGTCATATCGTGGCGACGCACGAACTCGCCTATTGAATTTTGCTTCCTGTTAGAGGCCGTCTGGGACGCGTGTTTGTACGTGTGTATCAAGGATAATCGGAGAACTGCACGACTAACAATTGTGTCAACCTGCTAATTATAGCTGATGATGGGCGCTCAAGAGAGTCCTAAGGTACTGAGAAGAATCAGTAGGGTTATGCAGAGCAAGGAAGCTCGACGATATGAGGTGCAGCACTCGTCATAGTCTCTATATGTAAGTGGTGAATGGAAGGTAGGCTAGCGACACTTTCGAGAATTGAGGGTCGGGGAATTGTCTTCAAGATGTCAACTAAATTGATGACACAGCAAACTGACAAACAGACATGTGACCACATGCTACATCACCTGTCAGGGGAACTCTTTCGCTCTCAACGTTTTCACAATCGATCAGTCTTAGCCTATCCAATTTATATTCAATTGATCCACACATCTTAATCCATGGAAATTGTCTGTCAAATGATCCAACATTTAGTGGTTAAATGTTATGCTAATCAGGGGATACTGAATGCCTTATTTGGAAAGTATTAAGGTATCACTATATGGCAGTGAGGCGGCATGCCAGGTCAGAAAGCTTCATATGAGCACCAGAGATACTAATCATTACAGTAAAGCTCTCGGCTCAATATAATGCTATTTGGTTTCTTGGGGTTTCAACTCTAGAACAGACAGAATGGCTACCCCTTCAAATAGCTGCACATTGCCTCTTTTGGTGCTTCGTGACTGGGTGTGCGCCGTCTGGAGAATGGAAGAGCCCGACGCATACAAAATGTGTATTGCATCCATCTAACTAGCTCTGCATCCTGTACATCTTGTTTACGCTCTTCCGTGCTTAGCATCAAGGAGCTAGAAATCTCGTCTAGCAAAAGTACCGAGCTTATGCACTCGAAGGCCGAACACCATATCTTCCAAGACTTTACGTCTAATCCTGATGACATGCCCGAGCAGTCTCCACTCCAATAAGCCTGTGACCCATCATTACCCCGGACCTTTAGAGGCTCCGAAACGCCAGTGTTTATGCGTCTCGGATGCAGGGTCTCATATCAGTTTGCCGGTGTGCTGACGCTAATCAATCCATTGATATAGACTAGGGCTCTTGAAAGTCATCTACGCCGTTTCCAGAGAAGCGGCTAGAGGAGTCCATTCCGAAGCGAGTGACAGTCTGGTCGGCATGGCAGCATCCAGCTTGCTAGATGGACAAGAGACCGTGCGTAATCTCTCCACCATGCTTGGGTTCTCGCAAGTTCGTTTCAGGACTACTTACACGAAACCACCCAACGCCCATTCGAAACGAATCAGATGCAGGTAGGGGTTGGTTGGCAAACCCTGCAATCGGTGGGTCGCTGCTTTTGACAGCTGAAATGGACTTCGTCGGCGCCAAAGTATTTGATCCCCAAATATAGAGAACCAGCCCAACCATCTTTTCGTCTGTCATAGAGGTATTACGGCAGTATGCTGAAATTAGCTTCATGCGGACGTGCACCAGCCAATGTTCATCATTAAAAGCAGTCAGTTTGCGCCATAAACACTGCCACAGCTATCAAGAATGGCTAGGCTTGCACTGAGAGCAGAATACACTGTTCCAGGCCTTCTTCGACAATGCTGTTATACTTTTATCAGTCTCTACGCATTAAGGTTGCCCGTATGTGGTATTGAAGATGGGTTAAATGCTGATCACAACAACAGGAGTGCAAGCACAGTATGAATTTAACTCCAGCTGCGTGGCTCCTGCTTTATATACAACTTTAACTCGGCGATATTCCCCATGTTTAATCGAGACAGGCTGTGGGGCAGCCGAGAGGCAGGGATCAAGGGGTCACGATCTGACACGTTCTTGGATGCATTTGCGCAGGAATCTAGGGATGTGCCACCACGAGGACGCGCGCGATACTATCCTTGGTCCTACACCCCCCTCGCATTCATCGGTATGCTTCCCGTGAAGCTGGGCCTTGGTTCAAGCAATTCGCGTCTGAGAAGTGTCACCTAACGGCGAATTGAGGCCCTATTATTCGCTACGCGTCCCTTCGCGCTCACATTCCTTGGGATCCCATCACACCCATGGGAGGAAATTGTGCTACATCAACTAATTTTGGAGATTCCTCACCCTTGCAAGCATTATTAGGAAAAGCCCAAAAGCCGGTAAAAACAATGAAGGGGATGCCAACAATCGCAATGTTACCACAATTGCGCGATGGTGCACATACACAGTATGGCTTCTCTCACTAAAGAATTGGTTACGAATATGGTTTGCCAGATGAATGCAGCGATCCATGGTTTAGCTATGTGTGCTGGTTTAGTCTCGGCATTTTATTCGCTATGCCTCATCAGCATATCATGTTTCGTGATCAAGCGGGCTTTCATGATATATAAACCAGGGCTTGTTCACTTTAGTCTTCACTTATGCAGTTCTCGTTCACATCCCAATCAACCCTTGTTTTTGCCCTTCATCGCTTGTCACTCCCCTAGTTCAAAGCCTGGCTTAGTCTGTCTTCGATTATTCAAAGCAATCCTTAATAAGCCTGAGTCATCATGAAGGCCCAAACAGCGGCAATCATTTTGTCGTTCTGCAGCTCTATTCTCGCTGTTCCTGTCCACAACCCAAATGCTAAACGGGCTGCTATTCCTAGTAGCCAGCCCCAATGGCCCGCCAGTCCTTTTGGGAACGGATTCCCCTTCACTGTTGGTTCCCACGAAACCAAGGAACAAGCTCCTGGCGGCAGCAGCAGCAGCATAGCCACTCCTTCGGGCACCCCCTCTAGCGTCCCGTCGGGGGCTGTCCACGGAATCCCACGACCTGTCGCAACTCCCTTCCCTGACCAACAAGTCCATGGACCCTTTTCTATCAATGCTCCGCCAGCCAATGGGGCTGCTTCCAGGCCGACGGCAACCTCAGTGAGCGCTCCGGCCGGGCCAGTTGCTGGCGCTGGAAGACCTCAAAGCCAATCTTCCCAGGGTTTCCCGTCATACGGACAAAGCGAAGGCGCTCCCCCTAGTGGCGGTCTTTCTGGAGGCCCGCCCTCACAGGGTACAGTCCCGAGCAGCCAAGACCCCGGTAGCATTGACACGTCCTCTGCTTACGAAGACGGATATTATGTGGGATACACCCCAACTGGCCACTCGACTGTTCCTTCCAACAGCGAGCCTACTGGCATCCCTGGAGGTCAGCAATCTCAGGGCTACCCTCCGAGCGGACAGTATCCTGGTGGTGAGTCCACCGGGTCGCCTTTCGGAGGTCACTCTGAGGGCACAAGTGGCGAGTACCCTTCTGGCCAATCTACTGGATTTCCTTCAAAAGGAGGATACGCTCCTAGTAACCCCCAGACTAGTGGGCAATATCCTAGCTCTGGCTCCGGATCTGTGTACCCGGGTGAAGAATCAACAGGATCATTCGGCAGCAGCTACCCCAGTGAACAGTCGAGCGGCCGACCCTCAACCAACGGCTACCCTAGCACTGGACACTCCACAAGCTCTTATCCCAGTACTGGATACTCCGAGGGCCCTTCATCTGGAGCTACCTACCCTTCATCCGGACACTCCGCAGGAACTTATCCTAGCTCTGGTCAATTCGAGAGCCCCTCCCAAGGTACCTATCCTTCCACTGGGAAATCAACGACCTCCTACCCTGGTTCGGGACTCTCTGGAGGTACTTCGGGCGCCAGCTATCCTTCGTCGGAGCATTCAACGGGCAGCTACCCTGTCTCGGGCTCTTCTCAGGGCCCTTCCAGTGGCGCTAGCTTCCCTTCCACCGGTCACTCCGCGAGCACCTACCCTGGATCTGGATATTCGGAAGGCCCTAAGTCCGGAAGCACCTATCCTTCCTCCGGACACTCCACGGGCAGCTTCCCCAGTTCTGGATATTCCGAGGGTCGTCCTTCCACCGGAGCTAGCTACCCTGCCACGGGTAGCTCGCAGGGCGGATACCCCGGGGCTTCTCAGGGTGGGCACGGGTTCTAAAGAATGAGAAGTGAGAAGGTATTGGTAAATTTGAGGTAGAAGCGAATTCAGCGTTCGGTAATATAATGTCAATTTAGTTTATGTTTTGTCTTGCAATAATGCGTGATGGGTCTAGTTCAGGCTTCAGAATAATTTTAGTCGTCAAACTTGATATGTTAGCTCTTGCATTTGTGACCCTACCTATAATTAGCTCGACCATGGCGAAGTGAGCATAGTATATATACACTCATTGAAGCAGCTATAGATCCGCGGCGTTTCGGACTATTGGCGTAATCAAAATCCTATCTTGAAATCATGGTGTCCTCTTAGACACTGAGTTACAAAACCTATATGCTATTGAGATTGAGCATTACCTAATACGTAATAGAAGTCCTCGGTATTTATAGGAGGTTAGTAGTAGTCAGTGAAGGGGTTTCCAAGTAGAGAGTAATACTAGTTATATATAAAGAAGTCTGCACCTACCCGCATTAGAATATATAAAATTGTGGAGAATTATTTAATGAAACCAACTATTAATATGGAGATTGCAAGTATAAATGCATTTATTATATCATATAACTTATCAGAAATATATAATATATAACATACACTGCAGACTCCGACCCACCGAAGCACAATCCCAGACAGAACCTGCAGAGCAGAAGTAAACAATCCCCAACGACTCCCTCAAATAATGAACATACATCTACTTATTAGTAGAATACCACCAACTAATCAAGCAATTCCTACCAAAAGCTTAACTATATACCTAAGTAGTTCCCCCCGGAACCCCCCCACATGAGGCATTTATCCCACCCACCCATTCATTCCATATACTACTAGTAATATATACTTACTCAATAATTCTCCTGCACATCATCTATCATCCACCAACCAATAAATTACAAATACTTTATCACACCAACCACCACCCCTGCAAAAAAGAAAAAGGATTGCCCCCAATTTATGCAAGGGGAGAAAGACCCAAAACAAGCTTTGACTCGACAAGGCTTGTTGGGACTTGGCTTTGGTCTGTTCGTACTTACTTACTTACTTCACTGTACATTAAGTACTTAGTTTACTGGCACCGGTTTCATCTGGTCTCTGGGGAGGTTACTGTACAGTATCATGTAAGTAAGTGACTGAATTTGTTTGTATGGGGGTTGTGTGGATTTGAGGGTTTATGTGTATTACTACTACTGCTATACTAAACTAAGCTATTTCAACCGATATATGTGTGGATGAATCATTGTATGGATTTTATACTCCCGCTGCGAACGAAAGTAACATGTTATAATCATATTTCATATTAGGAAGTAGATGGTGGTTCTGCTAAATATCAGTAACTACCAAGTAGTTCAACCAACATTATTCTTTTCTCGCCACACACACACAGTTTTTATACAAATCTTCCAAGTATGGAAACAACTGTATAAACCGACCCGGTTTAATTGACAATAATTACTTACAGTAAAAATTCATGGGGGAACTGCATGATCGATCAGATGACGGGGATCATCATCATCATCAATCAACAGCTGAACCTAGAACCATCTGAAGTGCAAGCACAAGCAAGCCACAAATGATGACAATTTAAACCCACCCACCCACCCACACCGCCGGACTTAGAACCGGCTTTGCTCACCGCTACTACAAGTATGCATACATACATAACAACAACTTACATATTTACTTTACTGTACATTATTCAATACATGATGCATACATTGACAATCTATCAAATTCATTCTTTCTAACCGGTTTATTTATTTGTAACTTTACAGAGTATATACCGAAAAGAGTGTTTCGGTGTCTGCGTCTGTCGTACAAAATGCTTAGCGCTCTATTGTTGGTTCGCTGCAGCTTGAGTTGACGTAATCCCCGATTAGGATTACTACCTGTCTAACAGGCATCTGCGTTGTCCCTGATGAAAAGAATGATCGATCCACTGCGGATCGGGGCATGGAAGGAACGATCGCACTCCACAAACTAAGTATAGTCTTTCTTGATTGAGACAAAGAGACCCGCTGTCTATCGTGTGAAGAACGCTGCAGAAATCAGCTCTATGTATGCGGGTAGTGAAAAAGGCAGAGCGAGTGACTTGACACAACAGCCAGACAAAAAAAGACCTAGGGAGGGTAAAAATAGGCAAATGTACACAGGGATAGACAACACCCGCGAGGGTAGTGAAAAAACCCGAATAAAAATAAAATAGCAATAGTAATCTTTATAAAATTGGATGCTATAGTTTAGTGTCACTCTCGGACTGCTAAATAAAACACAGATAAATCAGGCATTTATCATCATCTCTCATCAAGGTCATGAAGACGTGGGTGTCACTCAGACGGTGTGGAGGTGGTGGTAAGGTGCCGCGAACAGACCACAACACTATGTAGCAAGCCGCGTCTCATCGAAAAGCAGCCTTACTGCACCCATGGCGGCACGTAGAAATTGCCATTGCTGTTTTCGCTCATGGGGGCAGTATTGGGGTCGAAGAGTCCCACGTTCCAAGCGGCCTCGGTTGGGGGCGTGGCCATCGACATGCTGGCAGTCGGCGTAGTCACCGGCTTGAAGGTCTCAGCATTCGACATGGCGAAGGCATCCTCGGTCGGAAGTTGCTTGGCTTCCATGCCCATGGTGGCCTGGAGCTGATGCTCCAACGCCGCGGTGGACTCGTTGGCCGACTTGAGGAAGTCGTCAATGTCAATAGACTCAAGGTTATTCGATGCCAAGAGCTGTGCCTGAGGAAGGCCGATGAATGACGAGGCCGAGCTAATGCGGAAATGGTCGATATCGGAGCCCTCGCTGACGCTGTTGAGATCGTGCAGATCGCTGCCCGTACGTCCCAAGCCAGGGATCGGCGCGAACTCATCCGCTTCAGAGATGTCACCGGACGATGACGGGGCTGGGAATCCGGGAGCCATAGAGTTGTAATCGAAGCTTGCGTAGGAGGGTGCTTGAGTGCTTGTCGCGGCTGGAACTTCCGAGGAGTACAGAGGGAAGCTTGACCAATCGACTGGAGGGGCGCTGAATGCGGTCGACTGAAGAGACACGTCGCCCTCAGGGGACGTGAAGAAGGGCTCCTTGTAGGGGTCCTGGAATGCGACACAATTGACAGGCGATGTCGCTGTTGTTGGGAAGGATGAGAATGATGACATGTCGAAGGGTAACCCCGAGGTGACCAGTGGGTCCAGAGGGGTCTTCATAGGCATCGAGACCGGCTCGGGAACGCCAACGTCACCAGCGTTCTCCGCTGTCTGAACTTGAGGGAAAAAGGACGAGATGTCGAGTGGGGGAACGGTTGTCGGGACGTTGTCCGGCGAGACGACGGGGGCACTCTCAGGAGAACCATGTTCAGACTTGACACGGCGATGTTGTCCGCGCGCGGGTGACTGTTCTGCAGGCTGTTGTTGGTTCGCGAAACCCTCGTTAAGCATCGTGGGCTGGACCAGAGGCAGGTGGTCGACCGAGCGGCGGGCCACATCGCCAGCGTGGATGGTATGAGAACGGGGTATCGTGTAGGGCAGACCGCATTTATGAGCCATGTCGTTGTGCTTATGAGCCGGCTTGTGGTGGCCATCGCGGAAAATAGTCAAGGTACTCTCCGATTTGGTCGATGTCAGCTGCGGCTTCTTGGGTTGATCCAACAGCGCTGCAGCTGGGGGTGGAGGGAGGCCGGTCTCCGGAACGGTATCCAGGTGGGGTTCCTTCTTCAGCGCACAGGTGCAGCGCTGACCATGAGTGCAGCCACATTTTGGACGGGAGTCCTCTGTAAAATCCAGATCAGAAAACTATGAACCAGTTCACCATCACCATCATGCTCACGCTTGTGATCCCGCTTATCAGTAACATGGGGATCTGAGTCATTCTTGTGGCAATTCTTTTTCTTGTCACCACACTCGCACTTAGTGTGGGTTGTCCGTGACTTGCGTAGGCCGCGACAGTGAGCGCATTGGGAGACAGGACGGCCTTTTTTGTTAATGTGGGTCAAGGGGCGGTCTGTAGCCAAGCCACGTTAGCAATTGCGACGGGAGAAGAATGTGATGCATCAGAAATAGTTGCCACACTTACCACTGTGGTGACAGCTGCTGACACGGTGACCCCGGACGCAAGCTTCACAAGCCCACTTCTCGCCATCGATAAGCATCGCCGCGGTTACTGAGAAAGGAACATGCGACGATTCGCGACGGTATATAGATCAAAAGGGTATAAGTGAACAGAGTGGGGGCCGAGAAGTCGCACGCTTCTCCGCCTAGTTTTGGTCTTTTATATATGGAATGGTTTTGTATGAGGATGTTAAGCCGAACAGGAAGACCTGCCGGAGGAAAGCGAAGAGGCCGTCAAGGCGAGAAATTCGAGGTATAGGTGGTGTGGTCCGTCGCAAAGATCGGACCAGCAGAAACCAAGGCAAACTCCAACAAAGCAAGGGTATCACCAGCTTGAATATCCCAATGCACCGAACGAGGTCACAGAAACGCCGTTTCACCTGTAAGAGGGTCGAATCGCAACTGAGGTCGGGAAGGTCGATGTAGGCTGCCGGTACGATTTGGCAAGCCCGATAGAAGAAGCCCGGGGAAGGGAGTATAGTATAGTAGTGTAAAAAAGGCGAGAACAAAGAAGCGGGTAGGCGAGTTGTTCACACAATGGCAACACCCAGGTACCAGGGGCGGGATGGGCAGTTCGAAGCGGAACGAGCAAAGCCCAACAGGAACATACACAAAAACCCAAAGGAAGAATCAGGAGAAAGAGGATTGAAGGGAATGGGGGGGCCAAAGCCTACGCACCGTTTGGCGCCGGCCGTGAGACAGGACACCAAATACCGGCTGTGGCGGCCAAGATAAAGAGAAAAAGCGATCGATCTCGAGGCAGAGTTGCAGAAGTAACCCTGTGGAAAAGAGGAAAAGGGAAAAAAAGAAGAAGAGAAGGGGGGGAGAAAGGCGGGAGGGGAGCGGGAAGAAGTAGTCGCAATTCAGTCCGGTCGCTTTGGGTTTCGGCGAGAGGGTCAGAGGGGGGCGGCGAAGTGGAAGGGAAAGTGGAACAACTCGGCGCCCGCAAGGAGATTTGCGTGGCACCTCTGGTCTCTCTGCCTAACCGGAGTGTGAACTATTCACTGTATTCATTACTGGTTTGTTTCATTTCATTTCAGTTCTTTCCTTACTTACTTTACAACACCTTTACTGTTACTTTATGTATGGTTTCTTTTTCTTTTTTTCTTCCACGTTCGGTGTTGATCGGACGCTTTCTTTGCTACTACTGCTACTACTTATAGCATAGACACTCAGTTCTGTAGCTGATAAAAATTTCCGAACATTATTTGTAGTTGGTATGTTTCTTCCTTCCCTCTAATTCCTTAAAACTCAGTGGTTGATCCCTGAATACGAATTACTATCTTTCCACAAGTCCACACACACGCACAGAAAGGAAACAGGTGAAAGAACAACCTATCGCTCCACATAGCCCACGGGCCATTCCATGGATACTAGAACTGGGCAATAAATTGTTTCTGACGAAGCCTCGTGCCAGAACAGCCAAGCTGTCACGCACGATTCCATTTCTTACGCAAATCGATCCCCCTCTCCCTCTCTGCCCCCCAGGTATGCGATCCCGGATTTTGTCAGTCAGCCTTGTGGCTAGAGCCTACAGTAGTTACTCCAGAACCATTCTGTCAACCCCTACCTACGATCTGGTTGCCTTACCCCTGGATCTTCACCCCCTCTTGCTCGCAATCCATCCTGACCAATTCACCTGGTATTCGTGTCGTGCATTAAATGCCATGTTTCTTGCCGCGTCAGCAGGAGACTTTTTCTTGCTATCCAGAGCAAGGTACCTTTAAAAAGCATGCAGCCAGCGCGCTGATACTCGGTGTGCACCGCCGCTAATTCACTACTACTAAGATGGCTCGGAAAGACGTAACATACGGTATTCAAACCAAACCAAGCAAAGCATTTCAGGTGAGATTGAGATCTCGAACTCGACCCCCAGCTATCTCCTTCAAGTCCTTATGTGCCAATGCAAGGGATCTCCGACGACGCAACAGCTTTTTTGGGGGGGGGGGAACCATTTCTTCCGAAACTTGGCTTCGTCCTCTTATCCTGATCTATCTTTCCATCCCACCCCCCCTGTTCTAATCCAAGTGATGATTCTAAACGTAGCGAAGTCGGTTAGCCGCGCTTCACGCCAGGATAGACTAGATAGCCCGCTCAGAATTAGACCGCCTCAAAATGGTTAGACTGTTGGCAGGAACTTGTCCTTAGGTCTTAGGTTAGGGTTCAGACTTCCAAGCGTCGAGGAGCCTTAGTCTACAAACTTGTGGTCTAAAGGCTTCGTGGAGAACGGACCAAACTCTGTTGAGGGGCCGAATGGATCCTGTTACGAAAACTCTGGGGCACGACAACCGGGCCGGTCACTAGTGACAATATTACCTTGGTTGGTCTAAGATATTCCGACACCGATCCCTCTTCCAGTGGGCAGCAGGACAGGGACATGGCCAGAAGAATCCAGTATCAAAGTGATGCTGCACAGCTGGGAACTATGTGTTGATACTTATTTCGGGAAACTCTTGTTAGCGTCAGCCGCCATGGTACAATCCGCGACGTGTCCCGAACCAATGACTGTTGGGGCAAATGCCTGCTGCCTTGGGAAGGTACAACAAAGTAGTGGATGGACTGCTGCTGCTGCTGCTGCGGGTAAGTAAGTAAGTGGTGGTCAGTAATAATAGTACATAGTAGTTCTTCCGGTGGTAAATCAGCTTTCAACGCCTTAGGCCACCCGTCAGTCATTCCTCTTCTTACGAATTCACAGCCATAAGTTCTAGAAAACCAAATTCCAGTCTTCTATGCAGTCCACTCTTTTTTTGCTCCAGCCACTCATGCGGTTCTGACCGGACAAAAGGGCTTGCGAATGGGCAGGCACTGGAATCCGACCATGGTTGACCCCGTGGACTGAACCACGTCCCGGGCTGGAAAGTCTGTGCCCATCGAGCGGTTCGACCTTTCATGCATGTGCCCTGGATCCTCTCCCCTGTCCTAATGCCGAACATTCTGTGCTCCGTACTCCGGGGCAATTGTGCACACACAGGAGAATTATTGACATATTGCTTATGAAAGGAGTATAATGTCGGTGACTCCGACCGGCTGCAGTGTTACTGACTTGAATGGAGGAGGTAACGTCCCATTTGAGGCCAGAGAGAGGTTCAAAAAAGGAAGTCAAAAGTAGGTACGCAGCAGCACAGGTTGAGATGCAGGTTCAGGTTCAACTGTTTTGTGCTGTAACTAGGGTGTATTGGCGACGTACGGTATCGTATCGGTGTGAAAATTCCTGACAACTTCCCCCATATGATCACCGTGGAATTGCCGACCATTGAGATTGTGACAATGCTTCCCTTCATTAACTTCGCCCATCAACAAGAAGCCTATCAGAGAGTCAGGAAAAAGATACCAATTCCGCTAGGGACCATGTTTTACATCACCGATCAGTTGTCCACTTAGGGACTCAGATCCCAGCGTCAAAATCACGGGTTGTTGGGGACTGCGGGATGGCGTCACTGCTTCTTGTTCGGGGCAATTGCAGCGGTTTTGATGGTCGGTCATGCGGCGGGGCCTGATCTACACAGCGCTGGGTGGATGTTCTCTTCCGCCAATTATACCCTCCATTCTGACTATAGTCGGGTCCCTTCGGGGCCTCCCTGAGTGAGCTCGCCCTGGTAATCCCACGGTATGGCCTTTTATTCTTCGTCGTCAGCTCGCCAATGGACGGGAAACGCTCCCTCGGCTGCAATAAGTCAGATGGAGTTTACCAGGTACATAAGTCCCCTAGATACTCTATGTGAACTACAACTCCACATTGCTGCAGCAGAGAGCTGAAGCTACTATTTCAGATAGGGAGGCATTCTAGCCAACAAAGCGTATTACTTGAAACACCAACACCCCGGCAACCATGCCGATGATAGGGTAGCCAACGGTTTAGTGTAGGAAGTTGAACATGGGTTATCTGAACACACCGGGGCCAGTTACCAAGTAAGTCAAGTAAACCTGGGTCACAAACGTATTGTGAATCGTACACGCTAGATAGACGGGATCCATTCCATTACCTGACCGTCTGCGCCTCCACTTACTACTCGGCGTAGTCCGTTGTTAACAGTTAGTTGGTTAGTTACTAAGGACTTATTAGGATGACCCAGCCGGAGCCTAACTAACTAGCATCATCTTTAGTTAGTTCCTCTTGACTAGTTAGCAACACGGCTAGGCTGACTTGCCTTGTCTGGGTGGATCATCATCCCGGGACTGGAACCTCCATTGATTATTCCCCAGATAGTTCCACCCAAATCACTTAGGCCGGTGGTGGCTATAACGGAATCACCGTTCTAGTCTACATAATGATAACAAACCCACCCCAATAATTAATTCTTGTTTGTGAGTGAAAAAGGTTGAGGGAAGAGAGAAAAGAAAAAAAGCAACCTACGTATCAACCGCATAACCGGAACCATTGAATTGCTTTGTCAACTACATACGGATCGCATCCGTCGTTTCCCCGTCGGCGAATTTACGCCTTGCGATTTTCTTTTCCCCCCAAAATGCAGGGCTTAATTTAGGATAGGCTGAGCTGCTTGCTTGCTCCCTGGTAGTCTACCAACTGACTAAGTACAAAGTAGACTAGACTAGCTCAGACACGACGCGGTGGGACCTGTTTCAGCCTACTGCGCACCGGTCAGCCCCAGCCAACGGACCGTGCCCGCGTTGTGGAGGAAAGTGATTGAAGGTATTTGTCTCTGGTGCTCGCTCTTGGGTTGTGGTGGAAACGAAACTGTGGGAGCCGCTATGGTTCTTACTATCAAACTGTTCCGTTTTGCATGTATGTAGGTCAGTTATCGGCGGCTGGGGTGTTGAAACTTGTTTTTTGGTATCTATTATGTACCCCGTATTGATGAGCTCAGATTCGCTTACGAGTAGTTTGGTGACTCGAGCCGCTTCCTCCAGAACATCGGCGATGCAGGGGACATTTGTTGACGATCTTTAACAACAAGAGTTCACTTAGTGCAGTACTTAGGTTTTGTGAATGGAAATAGATGCAAAAGGTGACTAGGCCTATGCATTGTACCGTAACTTAGTCCATTGGCAAAGACTAACTACCTGCCAACCCTACGAATTA